TGATATATTAAATCTCCAGTTTTTTCTTGGCGTAGTATTATTCTTGTGCATTAGTGTTAAAGATACAGGACCATGATCGCTGACAGCTATAGGGTGAATCTCAGTGTCTGAAATGTCGTTCAGCAGTGAGCTGCTGACCAAAAAATAATCCAGACGAGAGTAGGAGTGATGGACATGTGAGAAAAAAGTATATTCCTTACTGGTGGGGTGAAGGGAGCGCCATGCATCGCAAAGACCAAAGTCGCTCATATATTGTTTGATTATATTTGTGGACTGCCAATTACGCTGAGTTCCCGCTGTATTGAGCCTATCCATGTCTTCATTTAGTCCAAGGTTGAGGTCACCTCCAAGAACAAGTGTGCCATCTAAGTGTTCAGAGAGTGCACTGAAAAAACCGTGAAAGAATGAGGGATCATCAACATTTGGACCATATACACTTGCAATACATAGCTTTTTATCACGTATAGATAGTTTAATGATTAAGAATCTGCCCTCTGGATCTATAACTGTATCGAGTACTGTGAAATTAATATTTTTATGTATTAAAATTGCTGCTCCCCTTTGTCTAGAATTATAACAAGCTGAGAACACATTAGGAAACTCAGGTGTTTTAAGTTCATTCGAACCTCTAAGAGGTCTGTGGGTCTCTTGTAATAGGACAACATCTGCCTGTAGTTTTTTGAGTTGGTTAAATATTTTTAACCTCTTTTCTCTGGAGCCAGCTCCATTTATATTCCATGTAATGAACCTCAGTGTACCCATAGATGTTTGTGTATAACTAGGGATGTATGCTGTGTGCGTCGCTTAGACAGGTGGAGAGAATACGTCACTTGTTCATAAATAAAGAGAAGGAGAGAGAGAAAAAATGTGTGGCGAGATGCTCCCTGAGTCTGACTTTGTGTATGCATAGTTACTAATATGAGTAGGCTTGGCTTAAGTGTGTGTGTATCTTATATGACTGTGTGCGCTGTCTGACTGATGTAAATGTGCTGCCGTTGAGCGCATGGTGCGTATGTGTCGAAATAAAGGATGTTTGTGGATGAGTGTCGAAGCAGGTGATCGAGGCAGTGAAAGGAATAAAGAAAGAAACCAAGGACAGGGGTGAGCAGCATAAAACCAAGAGGGGGAAAAGAGAGGAGGGGAAAAAAAAAAAAAAACGAGAAGAAAAAAAAAGCAGAAACAAAACGTAAACATTCCAATTAAATCACTGACGGAGAGTGACGGTGTTAATTCTGCTATGAAATCACACTTTAAGATGTGATTTGATACTGGTAAGTTAAACAGATGTTAATGCAAGTTAGTGTGAGTGGATAGGGAAATGGTGTAGCTGATTCTTATCTGGTGTGAGGTTAATACAGCCACGGAGTGATGTTGGGGTCGCGGTGGAGCTGTCCGTCCACGTACAGCCGGTCCACAGCGATGACAGCGCGGGAGCCCTTCTGGATGAAGCCGCGTCGGATTGGGAAGAGGACCCTGCGTCGTTCCAAGATCTCTTTGGGGAACTGGTCGTTCACGCTGAAGTCCGTTCCTTTTAATTCCCTGCCGCGGCTTTTCACATGTTGCTTTTGTTTGAAGTGGCCGAATTTGGCCACGATAGGACGTGGTCTCCCGGCCGTAGCCCGAATGGGGCCGAGGCGATGTACCCGATTGAAGACGATGTTCTTCACAGTGTCCTCCGGCAGCTTCAGGTGGGTTTTGATGAAGCTTTTTACCGTGGTCTCCGCGTCCTCTCCAGCGGCTTCTGGAATACCAGAAAATACCAGATTATCACGCATGCTACGAGCTTGTAGATCGATAACTGTTTCTTTTATTTTTTTATTTTCTCTATTGAGCTGGGTAACATTATCTGTGAGACATTTCACCGACTCCCTTAGCGTGGCATTTTCAGCAGCAAGCGTTTCCACCTGCTGCTGGCTGTACTCCAGGGATTCTCGCAAGCATTTAAATTCTCGGTGAAGAATCTCCACCAAGGACAGCCTTGCGTCGAAACTGGACAATCGCTTGTCGATTGACTCCAATATGTCGGCAATATCTTTGCCGGCTGGCGATGTTGAGCCGGGGGAATCTGCCGGGCGTTGTCTTTTCGACGACGGCGTCTCAGCTTTGGCCGGGGAAGCTGCACACGGGGTCTTCTTCATCACGAGATCCTGAAAGCACTGATCGATGTAATCTTGGAGAGTCTCTAAACTCTCCTCGTTGTTCTCCAGGGTGTTGGAGATTATTTAGACAAATAGTGTTAGTTATAAGACAATTGATAAGTGTATTTGGTAATGCTGAAGCTTAAATGAATTTGTTCAAATCTAAACTACCATTTGCTTTAATTTTCCGCCAAAATCTCCGGCGTCTGACGTCAGTTACAACATGAGTCGCTTACCTTGTCCGTCACTTCCGTCACTTACTCACCTGCTCCGTCACTTCTCACCTGCTCCCTCACTTCTCACTTATAAACACAGTTATATTTTTTCTTGTCAGCAAGTTCTATATAAATGCATGTTAATTTTTTAGACTCATTCCATCTTACATTATCAGATTTTTATCTATCTATCTATCTATCTATCTATCTATCTATCTATCTATCTATCTATCTATCTATCTATCTATCTATCTATCTATCTATATATATATATATGTGTGTGTGTGTTCTTCTCATGTTTGTGTGGGTTCTCTCTAGGGCTGCCACGATTAGTCGACTAGTCACAATTACGTCGACTATCAAAATCGTCGACGACTGATTTAATAGTCGAAAAGACGCAGTAATAAGATTTAAGAGTATAATAACGGACTGAAACAGAAGATGGCAGCACTGCATGTACAAGGATGCCAGCTGCCGTTAAACCCCAAAGAAGAAGAAGTTGTGTCCCAGAATTCATAGCGCAGGCCAGCTCAGTTTCCAACAATGGCGGCAGCTAGCTAGTTTTAATATTACTCTGATTATTCTCTCTGGGTCACAAAATATATTTAACATATTTTCAGGCGAGAATGTAACTATTTAAACCTCAAATATCTGCTCAGTTTATCAAGACACCACATATTTTCAAAAGCGCTCCGACTTTTTCCTAGCTGGGGGCAAGGCGCACTCGAGCCCGTGAGAACACCGGACTCCCGGCAAATCGTTTTCAAACCCACCGCTGTCTTTCGCTACTCAGGTTAAACATACATAAGTCACTTAGATAACTTAAAAATGTTATTGTTTGGCCTTTTTTTTTAGTATTTTATTTGTTCCTGAGTAAATCGGTTTGGCTGAGATTAAAATTATAGTTTTTACACAGCTGAATAAGCAGACGACTGATTATCAGAAGTGTGAGATGCTCGAGAATATACTCCGGTGTCCCGTTATATTTTAGATAGTAAGAAGTTTATTAAACTTCACCGAAACAATCTGCAAATTTCATTAAAATTTAACAAACTATCATCTTGTCTTTATTTTTATTTAGCACATACCTTAAACACTTAAAGCTGTAAGCTAATGATAGTTATATAAGAGCAGATGCTGCTGGTGCAATAAGCTGTATGTTTTATGTCCAATGGATGTATGATCTGATTAGTCGACTAATCGCAAAAATAATTGGTGACTAGTTGATTATCAAAATAATCGTTTGTGGCAGCCCTAGTCCTCTCCAGGTTCCTCCCACAGTCCAAGGACATGCAGTTGGCAGGGTTGGATTAACTGATTATTTTAAACTTAAACTGTCCATAGGTGTGAATGTCAGTGTGAATGGTTGTCTGCCTCTGTTTCCCTTTCATAAAACAGCCACCCTTCCACTGGGGCCATTTCTGATCAGGCTTAGAACCTTAGAACCTCTAAGGATACTTCTAAATTGAAGACCGTTCAGAATGTTTTTATTTATTTTTTTCAGTTTATTAATGGGATAATGTACCTGTAATACTATCGGAGACTATGGTAAATTTTTACAACTACCTGCAAAAGGCTAATGGGGTAGGTTCTCAGTCATCCAGGTCATGGTAGTCTAAGGAGCTTGGAATCTAAGTTAATGGACTTCTTTAAGTTTCTTGAAGATGTTTCACCTTTCATCTGAGAAACGTATTGAGTTCTAGAACCAAATGAGAATTTTCACCAAGCATGACATCCCAGTCCACTTCAGACCCAGCCACACCTCTACATCACAGAATCCAAACAGCCATACTATAAACACATGACATAGAAGAGCCATCTTGATGGGACAAGACTTGGCTGTACAACTGGATCTAAAGGTCAAAGGTCACTCTGTCAAGGATGGCAATGTTCACATTTTGGAAACAGAAGACAGATAATCTGAAAGAGGAGTAAAAGAAGCTATTTATGTCTACTGTGAATGACCATCTTTGAACAGAGGGGGTTGCTTACAACACCAACTGTCTGCCACCTACAAACCAGCTTTGAGATCCCTTCCCAGCTCACGCCCCACTTACATCTAGCATCAGGTGAAGCAAGGTCCCACAGTGGTTTAACCCAAAAACCTCTTGTGATTATGACCCATGCCTTTTTCACACTTTGGCTCATGTGATGAGTCACATGATTAATAGTCCTCTTAAGGGACCTCCACTAGGGTATAAATGCAACCAGGAGATGACGGACTAGAGCAGCGCAGATACTGAAGGACCCGTCCCATCCTGGCAACAAACTGTTCCAACTTCTGCAATCCGGTAGAAGTCCGATTGTCTATTCTTATTTAAGTCACGTAATGTACAGAATTCACCTGAAAAAGGATTCTCTGGTCGAGGTACAGTGCTTAACAAATGTAATAGACCATCACCTGATGCAAGGTTCATGTAATTGCTACCATAAAATTAACAGTATTGGTAACTACCAAAACAAATCTGTTTAATGGAATAATTAATACACCAGTATGTGCAAGCTATTTAATTAAAATCATATTGTCAATGCTAAAATATAATCATTAATATTATCCCTGAATTTTCAAATGTACTCTTACAAAAACATACAAAAGTATATAATAAAAACAGATATTTCCTTCTTATATGTTACTGTTTCTTTTTAGTCATGCAACAGCACACCCCCAGAGGAGAGAGAGGAGAGATTGGACATCCTGGAGCAGGTGAAGTGCTTAACAAATTTATTAGATCACCCAATGCAAGGTTTATGCATCTGCTGCTTTAGATTAACAGTATTGGTAACTACCAATTTTTTATTTTTATTTATTATTTTTTCAAATGTACTCTTTTACAAAAACATGCAAAAAATAGTATTTCATAAAAGCAGATATTTCCTTCTTATATGTTACTGTTTATTTTTAGTCATGGAACAGCACACCCCCAGAGGAGGGAGAGGATACCTTGCACCAGGTGAAGTGCTTAACAAATTTATTAGTCCGTCACCCAATGCAAGGTTTATGTAACTGCTGCTTTAGATTAACAGTATTTTGCAGCACTATATACATATGAACAGTATTCAAAAAACATCAAATGTATAAATATATAATGGGGGAAAAACAAATAGGGTTATATATTTACTGTGTTGGTTATTGCACGTTAATTAAATATTACACAGTAGTGATGGTAAAGAGTGTAGTCTGGGTGTAGAGGGTAGTCCTTGGATTGGGAGGTGGTATTGTATTGTCAGTGCAGCGTGGTTATGGCTTTTTGGAAGAAACTATTTACGCTGCATCTGTAGTGTTTCCCTGAGTGAAGCAGGTTGAACAGGTCAAAACCAGTGTAGGAGCTGTCTTTGATAATGTTTGTCAACAACATTTCTAACAAGTTGAAGTGCAAAAATTAGAATTTATGTACAAACTATGTTTACAGACTGACACTGAGTTGTGAGACTCAATATATACGTGTCTTTATTTATTTATTTAAAGCAGTGGTTAGTATCAGGATGTGTTTATAAACTCAATATGCAACATAAAGACTTAAAATATTAGTGTATGTGATTAAATGTATTTACAGTTGTTCTCCCTGATGTCCAACCTGCTGTTGTTCATCTTTCACGTGATACTACTACTCTGGAATCCACTGATGGTATTGTATTGCCTTGATGTCATTCAGGTTGATAAAAAAAATAATAGTAATTGTTTTGGTTTGGTTTCTTTTGTTTGTTTGCTTTTTTTGTATTGCAAGTTCCAAACAACCCATGATGTACTCAGATATGCAGCAAATTACATACTTTTTTTCTGGAAGGAAACTCCAAACATGGGCTGTTTTTCAAATCTCTTCATTAACCATAAAACAAAAAGAAAAGCAAACAAAATTGTAAGAATAATATGTTATATAAATCAGGCTCTGCATAGTATGTATGAACAATTGTGTATTTTTTGGATTCCTGGCTCAGGGGTTATAAAGCACATTTTGGGTAGAAAACCTGGGGTGAATATTTAATTTCACTAAAAATGTTCTAACACTGTGTACCTCTGTATCTCTAGTTCCTGTACTCCACAGGTTTTTGCTAAAAGCTGAGAACCAGACTGTTCCACTATGCTTTGATGTCAGTGGACCTGTCCGCCTTAAACTTCTTCACTATCCCAGCAGGGGTCAGTAGTGTTAGCTTTTTCCATCCTAATATTTCTTTTCAGTGTAATAAAAACTGTTACTCTTCTTTCTCATTGTTATTTTCATATGAAAACTCCAGTTTGTGGTATAAGATGAGCATTTCTCTTTTCTTCTAGAACTGTCTGTAAATGGTGAGCTTGATTCAGTTACAAATGGAGGCTTCAGCAGAATTTTCATACACGTCAAAGACAGCCAACATGTTGAGATCGACACCAACTGGGTCACTGTACGAGATGGACAGACAGTGACATATTACACTGGACAGGATCGCATTACAGCTGGAAGGTGATGTTGTATTATCATGGTCGAGACTCGTGCTCTCAGCTTTAAGCACAGATGTGTGACCTTATTCACCTGTGTTACCAAGATTTACATGAGAAGACTGTCTCTCTCAGCACCTATATATGTTAGCTGACATCTCTGAGGCTGAAACCCCTAAAAAGTTTGTTTTTTATTTTGTGTTGATTATTGAACAGATGGGATATGATTTTAGTAAGGACAGATCGTTTGAAAGCACCGGTAAGATTTATAAGTAAAGAGTATGAATTATAAGCTATTTGGTGATTAGACATAGTGTAACAGATCAGAGTCAATGTTAGGAGGGTACATGCGAATGGTGGATGAGGTAAAGCAATTGGAAGAGGTGGGTCACATGAAGGAGTCCGAAAAGCAAAATGATAAGAGGCTGTGAGATTTAAAACACACAGAACAGAGATTAGCTGGCTCAGAAAAGGAAAGCGAAAGCAGGAACATGATTGTTTCTCACATGAGTGGATTTGAGTAAAGCCCAAATGCACGAGAATACAGGCAGACGAGTGCATACAGATCTTCACTTTTTATGCTGAGGTAGACTACAAGCCATACACTTATATTTATTTACAGACTTAAGTTTACTTATTAGAAACCAAGCCAGCACTGTGTCAGACTGAGGACCTATCCTGGGTGTACCCCAACTCTCAGGAATAGGCTCCAGCTCCTATCATGGATAAGTGGAAGAAAATGCATTGATGGATGCAAATAATTATTTGTTCAGGCCATGAACTGAAGTACAGAATGAAAATGGCAGGGGCAGACATGAAGTAGAGTTTGTCATGAATTGACTGTCATAAATTCACTTTTACAAAAGATGCTAACATTAAAGTCCCTGTACTTTATGCACTGCACTGCTGTTTAATCAGAGCAGGCTAAATTCATCCAAGTAGCATGATCTGTGCAGGTGCTTTATACAGCTTTAAAAAAAAGTTGAGTAACTCCATGTTTTTCCAGTGTGACAGTGATTGTGCGCAACAACGAAATAGACGTTGCCACTGGAGACATGCGAATGGTCATCATAGTTCATGAGAACAATGGTCGAAAAATCCTTTGGCCAGTTTTAAGACGGCATCCTTCAGCCAACAACACTGATGGACTTTTAGGTGAGTGAAAAGCTGTGTGTGTGTGTGTCCTTGCTGCATTGGTTTTCAATGTTGCTTCACTCTCTCTTTCCAGCTGTAGAGGCTGCAGTTTATGAGGAGGTACAGCAAGCTCCTGTCAGAAAACTAAAGATTAAAAACCAGGAGGCAGACGTTACTGGGTATATTTTCTTTTCTTTTTTGTATTTATGTTTTTGTTTTGCTTTAGAATCCAGCCATTTCTACAAAGATTAATGATCTCTTTATTCTTTCTTTTGTAGGGAGATGGTTGTTGACTACAGCTTTGCTTCTCCTGTCACAATGAAGTGTTGGCTCACGTCTGCTGACTCTGCCCTGCAGAGACCACTGTTCCAGTTTGTCATTACACAGCTTTAACTGGCAAATATGTTGATTTATTTGAAAAATCTTTAATTTAAAAGGAAAACAAGGCAAAAACATATATTGTGGAAACTTTCTTTCCATCTGTTTCCAACATGTAGAAATATAACTGTGAATGTGGATCTAGTGTCAGACAGCATTACCAATTAAAAATAACATACATAAATCAGGATTTATGATTACCACCATCTGCCATTAACATAGCGTCCAAAATGACACAAATGCAGTTGACATGACAATAACAGGCATACTTCTACACCTTTATTTTTTAAATACGTTGAAAAATAAAAAAATTAATTTTATAAGTTTAAACTACAGTAATCATATTGTTATAGCTAAATGTTAATCAGCTTTGCTGGCTGATCTGGAAGAGAGTTGGATTGTAGAAGGTTTGCTTATAAATAACAATTTCAAATATTTCTGAATCCTGGTTAAGTACCAGAACATTGAGAGAGGAAACTTTTTAAAACATCTCTTCTGTTTTGTCTTTAGCCTCAAACTGCAAATGACATGTAATGAGGCTGACTTGATTCAAGGATCTCTGACAAATATAATGCTGTTATTTTTCTTGCATAATTTCATGACTTCCTCAGAACAGTTTATGGAATGGATATCAAGCGAATGAATAAAGAATCCAAACTATTCCCTAACCTTGTTTGCGAGCTCTTCTGTACAACAGCTATAAGCCCCTCCTGCTGGGGAGGTTGATGTACAAGAAATTCAAAACACATTCGAGCCACCCTTGTTTCTTTGTATTTTCTTTTCAAGGAGAGAGCTAGACTTTCTTGTAAATTTTCAACATTAATAGCAACGGTTCACTGGGTTTTTTGAAGTTTCAAAGTTTTCCTTTGGACATTGGCTCCTTTTTCGCTCATTTATGTCCAGTATTACTTGACTATTTTCAAAGAAATGCTTTTTTTGTTATATTTTCTATAGCCACTTAACACTGACCTATTCCTGCATAAGGAGGCACCTAACTCAAACAATGGACCAGTTTAGAAGTCTTAGGAAAATTAAACACAAGTTTAAATGATGAGTACTTCTAATACTGCAACTACTAAATAAATTGTTATAATTTTTACTGTTATTATTACCTTTTGGTCATTGTTTATAGTTTCCCAAAACATATGTATATATAATGCTCAGATTTACAGTTTAAAATAAAACTGCATATAAAGAAAACTAAAGTACTAAATGGGAAGGAGTAGTCTTTCATCTTCTTACTTTCAAGATATTCTAATATGCCTTATCTTAGCTCCTCCATATTTGATGACAACAGGTTAAAGGACATTTTGCACAAATGACTGAGATTAAGTTAAGATAAAAAATAAAAAAATTCCCAGCATGCATCTCTACCACAACTGGTGCGGAAAGGCAGCTATTTTAATCAGTGGAGTGGAACCAAAGTCTAACAAAACGTTAGACTTTGGTTCACAATAGAACCATGACATATATGTTATATAACATACAGCCTAACTCATATAATCTGTCAACTTTAACTTGAATACTGTGAGCATGAATATTCTGTTAAATGTGTAGAGGCTATTTTATTTGTGTTGTTATGTTATGTTGACTGGAGCCTCCATGTTTTTATAGGGGGCCCTGGCCTCTCCTCCTTAGAATGTGTGGCCTTATTTAGTTCGTTGGTCACTTATTCACACCAGTCCAAACTGGGTGATGTGTCCAAGACTGACCAAGAAATACAGTGACATATCTAACTCCTAAAGAAAAGTTTAAGCAGTCTCTTCAGTCTTTTTAAACTTTGCACTGATTGGTTCTGTTTACTAAGGTTTTTTACTCCAACACCTAGACTAGAGTTTTCTTTGTTATAAGCTAAGCTATAAAAGAAAGATTTATATTAACTGTGAAATAAGTTAAATAACTCAAAGTAAAATGAGGAAAATGTCTTTCCTATGATGGAGTATTAGGCCACATTAAGAAGAAAAATATTATTTATCATTTTGAGAATAAAATTGAAGTTTCAAGATTAAAGTTGTAATTCTATTTTGAGAAAAAGAAATCTGAATGTTACAGTTGTTGTATCAAGCAAACTGTCATGGCTGCTTTACCCTCTGCAAAACGTCTTGTGTAGTTGGGTTAATGAGATCGTACTTCAGAATCGGTTTTAGTAAGAAGGAGGTTATTTCTTAGCACATAAACAGAGTGTGGAGAGGACTTTAAGGACATTAAAAAGATGGGATAGAAAGTCAGATGGAAAACTGTGGAAGAAATTCCAAATGTATTCTCAATAATGATCAATATGATCAATAATATATATTACTAATATATTACTAATGCTCCTTCATACTTTTCTACCTGTTACCAACATTAACAGAAAAAAAGGTTTATATGAATGACTCGTATAACCTCGTATTTAATGTCTTGAAATATATATATATATATATATATATATATATATATATATATATATATATATATATATATATATATATATATATATATATATATATATATCAAGATTTGCAATAACGGTAATTACTCAGTAGAAAATGTGTGGTGCCACTTTACCTTCCAACATTACTCCTTTGCACAGAATTGACAGTAAAAAAGGTATTATTTATATACTTCTTACTGTCTTAGTGCTTTCTACCAAGCATCTTAGTCCTTTCAATGTAAAGAATGCAACAACACCAGCTTGTAGCTCTGCATGCACCTGTCTCTTCATGATACAAACCAAAAGTGAAAGTAATGTGAACACTTCTTACACTGCGCTAAAGTAACAAATACTTCACATTGGCAACCTGTTTAAATGCAATAATTTTGAAGCATTATGAATGAAAGCTAACTCCATGTTTAAGTGAAAAGAAATGAGATTAGCAAGGCTATCTGCTTTTTTTAATGGTAATAGCAGAAACTGAAAAACATAAACACAGCACAAGTTTTAAAGTGTTCAAACTTGCATGGACAGGGACAAGCAGAGTTCGGTTACACGGGTGGTGATATGCCTCACTGTTCACTCACTCTTTATTAACTGGTTCTTAAACAAAGAGAAGATGTTATCTTAAACTGGAAATTTCTGATTATTGCAGTGCATTGAAAAACAAATCGGACAAAAAATGAAATGGTAAATGCAGAAAGGCTTGAAAACTTCAGTGCCATTGTCTCACAGTGACAAAGCAAAAACACTGATATACGTTTTCTTTTCTTTTTTTTCTTCTTTTTTTTCTTCTCAAGAGACAGACACGGTTTTGAGTTTAGTTAAGCATTATGTGGTCAAACCAGTTGAGCTGCTGTGCAAGGTGTGTGCCATTGTGTTCCTCCTTGAATAATTCTCACTCAACGGGCTGCATTAGAGTGGATGAAAGACATGCAAGTAGGTGTTAAACTTGTTTATCTAGGCACAGTATACCAAAAACAGCAACACAAGGAATTTTTGACAAAGGCACAGAGAACACATTATCAAGTGCTGTCCAAAAAAACAGAACAAAAAACCCAAATAGGAACTGTTAACTGTTAAAGTAACACTCTGTGTACTGTTTAAGAATACTTTAGTCTTATAAAGGTTGAACCTTGTTCTGATTTAAAAAAAAACAACAACAAAAAAACCCAGAAAAAAACCTCCTTGTGGACTTTGAACTTTGTCGTTTGTGTTGGTTACACTGTAATCAAGAATTCGGAGCAGGAAGTTTTAGGATTATGCGCATTGCTGAGTCTCGGTTGCAGACAGGAACAGAAAGAAAGAGAGGCAGGGAGAGAGAGGGAGGGACTTGTCTTGATTCAGTACAATGACGTGCGGTGTGGTGCAATTTTCACATGACTCAAGCACTTGTGGGATACTTTGGTAAGGTGTGGAGCTGAATACCCAGTAGAAATGCACACTTTGGAGTGGATTACAACACAAGGTTTTAAAGAAAGTAAGACTATTCTCTATTAGATTACTAATTTTGCTGTAGTTTTATGTCATTATACTCCTGTCTTATCTAATGTCATACTACAGTGTTCTTATTTTTCATGTTTGAATGCGTTTTAAGCAAGGACTATTGAGTTAACAGCGAACACTGTAATGGATTTGTTAACAACACAAAGATTGCCAATGCCAGTCAAGTTGCTAGATCTAAATTGTATTGATTAAGTTATTCTGTTAAACAAAATAACTTATTTTTTTTATCTCTTTTTGACTAGACCATAAACAAATGTGAAACACATATTCATATATGTGGGTTTATAGTTTATCTCAGTGCCTCACTCCCTTCCTTGTACAAATAGAGTTTCTATGTGTATAACTTCCAATCTCTAACCCAGCTGATGATCAGGAAGCAGCCAAATTACTCGCTTAACAAGGTTTGAATGTTGCCCTCAGAGAAATATGCGTAGAAGAATGCTGTAGGACTGCTGCAGATACCTAAAGAAGAATGTTGGCTCTTGGATGGTCCTTCTGGTGTATTTTACTGAGTCTACACATGCCACTTCATGGCTTGGAGATTTTTGAACATGACAGCCACAAAGTCATTTGCTCACAGGTACTATAATTTACAGTGCTTAAATACACCGACAATGGCATGCCCTGTACATAAAACACAGTTTTCATTGATAGTTTATCATAATGTCCCTGGACATTTTCATTTCCTGTTTCACCAATCAAGTTATCTGTTCTTAAACATTTAATTAAAAGCAGACAAAGGGTTATATGATCAGAGTGTTTTATGTTTTATAACATAGTCATCAGAACTGCAAATATTGCCACCCAGGCTCATTCAGTAACAAGTCAAATGTTTTTCCTCCAATTTTTTTTCTCCTTAAAGGGTCTCTCTAAATGCAAGATGAAAGATGAGATGCCTGTTAATCCCAGCAAAAACACTGTGGATGTTCAGACACTAAAACCAGATTTTAAGCTCTGCTGTACGAACAAGACAGCATGTGCATTATGTTTGGTGATAGACATAGAGTTTAACATCGATCCAGATGAAGACACGGAGGATCAAGGCTCCTCTGGCTCAGAAATGGAAGAATACAGAGAAGACAAGATCACTTCACAAGGTATTTGAAATCCACTTATAAGTTCAAACATCAGCCTTGTATTAAAACAAAAGGAAACTGTAACGTGCCTTTTTATGTGATGCAATTTTTAAACTTTTGTCTTGGTTGAAGGAAAGCCACTACAGTGAGCAATGACTCTTATTTACTTGAAAGTCAGAGTTACTTGCTGCGATATACAAGCAGATGTGTTTTGGAAGCCATCCAAGTGAGATGTAGAAGAACATGTCCTGGCATGTTGGGAATCATCACTGGAACAATGAATGAGCAAACATGGAGTTTATTTGTGAAATGGTTCGTGTGAAATGAACACGTGTTTGGCTAACAAAACAACAATTTAGCTCACAATAAAAATCAGTTACATCTGATTTGCTTTTTCATAAGTCAATCTGAAGAAGCAGAGGTTTGTTGCAACGCTGTCATAGATAACAGTGGCACAAGTGAAAACCACTAGCTTCAGTTACTAATGGTTAGTAATACAATATAAGTCAAGCGTCTTGACAGATAAGACTACTGGCTTATTGTTGAAATGAAGTTTCAATTCTTTCTTATCCACACCTTCGTTTGTTTCTGTGTTACCACAGGGTCATTGACAGTATGTTATTGCACAGAAGCGTCCATGCCAAAGTGCAAGAAGGTGGTGTTTACAGTGAATAATGAAGCTCTTACTCAACAAAACCAGCTAAAGGTATTGTAAACCCCATGTACTTTGCACTGCCATTACTGCCTCACTTCCAGCATACTTGTCTCATTAACGCTGATCTGTATGTGACTTCTACAGATCTCAGTGGTGCTTACTCAGTCAGATGGCTTTCCCTTTGAAATCTCCCTGATTGTCCGTAGCTCAAGTATAACTGAAAGGGTTGCTGCTCCTTCTTTTAATGAAGGTGTGTATTTTTAATTACGTTTGAACTATAAAGCTACAGCTTATTACACATCTGGCAACAGTGACATATATACCTGTTTGTTCTCAGTGTGCTCCCAGGAACTGCAGAAAACTTTACCAGAGTGTCAAGGTAAAACACACAATCAAACAATGTCCCTGTGCATTAAAGCAAAAAACAACAAAGAGAGAGAGAGAGAGAGAGAGAGAGAGGGAGAGAGAGAGAGAGAGAGAGAGAGAGAGGGAGAGAAAACATACCTAATAACTGACACTGATTTCCTCTTTTCAGTGCCCAAATTCACATTTGCAGTAAACTCAAAGATGAATCAAGTGGAGCTGCAGCTTGAAGACGGGAATAAGATCCCCCCCTCGATGTGCATCCAGTACGAGCAGAAAGGAAGGTGTCAGGTTAGTGATATCAGTGCCTTAATTTCATGACATTTATAGTTTGTCATTTATATTCTGTACAAAGGTTGGAAAGGGTTTGACTTTTTTTTTTTAGTAAAAGAAGCAAAAACACCATTCCAAGTAAAACTGTAGCATTAAAATTTCACTTTATTTCAAATTATTAGAACGCATCAGAGGAGAAATTACTCATCATGTGGAGTTTTTCATGATATTATATAAACACGAATAAGTATACAATCATAATATTCGATGGCTGGTGTAGGTGAAGCTAATTTTATTACTTTTAGTGTGTGTGAAGAAGGTATTTAGTTTAAGGAATAATTCGAGAATTTGAGGAGGAAATGCTTTCACTGCTTTATTAAATGCACTGCAAATAATAATAAGTAATCATTAACACTGCAAAGTAACTACCTGATAAACATAACCTGATAAATGTAGTGAATATTGTCTTCCTCTGCCCACAAAAGTAGCTGGGCAATTAGGCAAATTGTACTAAAGTTGTACTACTCTTCGCTGAAGCCATTTTAAATGTTACTCTGCAGAGTTGGAACAGGATGACCATACCACTGTACTCCGTAACCCGCTGCATGTGTCTCCAGGTATCATCAGCTCTTTTACATGATTTCTCCTGGCTAATATCAGCAGTCTTGTGTCCCATGCAGACTTATATGACTATCATATTCACATATTCACATGTCCTATAGCTGTGGTACGAGGATGGACAAAGGTCTACACGGTCACTACAATGCCCCTTCAATAAATCTGGTGAGAAAATTTGAGCAATGTGTATTTATTTAATTGGGATGATTACCTCCTTGAAATGTAGACATCATAACTCACTATGTGTCTCCCCTAGATTCTCTAAATGAATCACAAAAGAACATATGGGAAAATATCACCGTGTCAAAGCCCCATGTACAAATGACCAGCTTTGGAGAAATGTTATCCTGGAACGTGTCTGCACCTTGCAGGCTGGATGGTAAAGTGTGGCTGCTTAAGAAACACAGTCGAAGCAGGAGTGCCTTCAGCCAACAGCTGGAAAATGGCACTGCATGGAAACAAAACATCAAGGGACTCTGGGTAAGAAGTGATACAGCCTAGTGAGGCGTGCACTCCTCTTTTTCAGACTCTTCACTATTACTATCTATCTATCTATCTATCTATCTATCTATCTATCTATCTATCTATCTATCTATCTATCTATCTATCTATCTATCTATCTATCTATCTATCTATCTATCTATCTATCTATCTTCAAGACCACCTGAAAATGGTAAAAAAAAAAAAAAAATCATATTTTACATGGTTGGATCTTAACAAGGTTCCATGTAGAGCTTCAACATCCAACAAGAAGAAAGACAAAACATTTTTTGGAGCACGCAATTTATTGAAAACAGTGCTGAAACAACTCAGACAATTATGGCGCCCCTTCCACTGTGGCGTGTAGAAAACATCTCAGGTGGGATCTGCTTGTCATGCCACTAACGTTGGAATCAAGGTTACATTTTTTCTCATCAGAGAATAAAACTTTCTTCCACCTTTCAATGTCCCGTGTTTGGTCCAAACGGTCAGGTATATGGATTTCAAGAGACTCTTTTTGCGACCCTGCTTATGCAGTTCAGCAACCTGACGACACTCAAAAAGGGAACATTTTTTTGCTTTTGCCTTCAGAACATCGTGACAGTGTGATTACCTGACAGAATTTGACAATGAATCAATTTTTCTTTGACAGATTTGGCCTTTTGATCAGCTGTAAAACAGCCTGTTTCAGTTTCAGCGTTGTTTTCAAAAAACTACATGCTCAAAAATGTTTTGTCTCACTCCCATTTCTTCTTGTTGCATATTGAAGCGCTACTTGGAACCTTGTTAAGATCCAATCATGCAAAAAATTTTTTGCCATTTTTGCAAGTGGTCTTAAACTTTTGATCGGGATTGCATGCACTATATCAGTTTGTTCCAGCTCTTAATTGAAAATAAAGGACATTTGCAACGAGTGAAGTACCAATATTAGTATCAATGTATCTGTATTAGACAAAAATAAAATAAAACAGTGTCTAGCTGAACACCCTATTTTATAAACTAATAGGATTTGCAATTGTTTCATCAGGTGAACACATTTGTGTTTGAAAATGTACCCCTCCGGCCCTTGCCGTGTTTGATGGTAAAGTATTCCAAAATGTATAGACTTAGTCATACCTGATTCCTGAACAGAGGTAACTCCTTTGTTTTTATTTGTTTGTGCAGATGAGAGTAAAGGGAATGGAACATGACCTAGGTCCATTTTGTTTTGATGACAATGGTAGGTACATGTCACATTTTAAAAATTGTAAAAGAATAGCATTCTTCTATTTTCTGAAAAGGGATTTTATTTTTTCCTAGTTGCAGCTGGCAGGTGGCGCTGGAGTCTCCTAGCCACTGCTGTTATGCTGCTGGCTTTCATTACTGTGCTGTTGTTATGGTCCTTTCATAAATCTATCAAGGGTAAGTTTGAAAATTTCCTTTTCTTTTTCGCGTTAGTAGTCTAACAATAACATCGCGTATTCACGGTGCAGCGAATCAGTTATTTGTGAAGAGATAAATATCCATGTAGTGATAAATCCAGTGATTTAAATTTACCTGTTCTTACTTTTATAGGATGGGTGTGGAGCTGGCAACACGGTGGGATAGTAAAAAGTGAGTTTTTTTTCTCTACTTTCACTAAAACACACAAACACATACACCCACAACAATACAATTCTAACTTACTTTTCTCTAAAGTTTGTAAGATGCGTCATGTTGTCCTGCTGAGCCCCCCAGACGTGGATGATGCCACTTCTAAGTTGGTGTGTCAGATCGGGTCCAACCTCAGCGACAAGGGCTTCAGTGTGTCTGTCGACCAGTGGAGCAGGAGGGAGCAGTGTAATTGGGGGCCTCTGCCATGGCTGCATTCACAGCTGCTGGAGCTTAACAGCCTGGGTGGCCGAGTTCTGCTGGTTCTGACACGTAGAGCCTTGGAGAGAACCGAAGAATGGATGCACTGGAACAAAGATATTATCAACGAAAGCATGGGGAACAAAGAAAATGATCTACCAAAGCTGTGGTCACCGTATTCTGATTTGTTCACAGCCTCCCTGTCCCTAATTCAAGCTGACAAGCTCCTTGATAGAGCTGGTAAACGTTTCGTTCTGGTGAAATTTGATTCCCACCCAAGAGAGACTCACACCAGAGACAGGTGTTTACCAGAGCTTCTACAGGGGCTGCCACTGTTTAGTCTTCCCTCTCAGAATCAGTCTCTCCTAGCTGAGCTAACTGTGACAAAGACAGAGAGAGGATCATATGGAGGAAGGTGAGGTACTCCAATGGCTAAAAAGGGACCAAGACCAGCAAGAGGGCATCATCGTGTAAATCTTTTAAATCACCCAAATGTACTTTAATAAGCTGTATTGCTTTTTTGTGTACATGAAGAATATGTTCATCAGAGTTGGCTGCCATGAAGATGATATGCTAATGAAGAATAAGACTCCCGACTCAGTGATAAGTGATACAAATACAGTCAACAAATTCCATACAGAGACCATAACCAATAATCTGTTGTTCTAAATCTCCACATACCTTCAAGCCTTATTTTATTTTATTTTTTAAATCTGCTTAAGCAGAAGCAGCTGCTGTACCAGGACAGTGTATACAAACTGACAGTATAAACTAAGTCCTGACATGTCTTGAGATGATCATCTCTGTACACAAAGACAACGGCAAAAAAATCTGGATGATCTATTCATTTTGGTCTTTTAGGGGATTTTTTGAAAGCAAGAACGATTATAGTCTTATTGTCAAAGCTGCAAAACTGTAACTCCTACAGACTAAAAATAACCGTGCACGGAAGCCTGTCCACACCTGTCTATAACTATATTTGCCTCTGTTTTTGTTTTTTTGTTTGGTTTAAAAGCTAAAACACATCGAGTTATGATTGGTCTTTGGAAGGACAGCGGCTCTTATTGGGCCAGTGTAAGGACTTACTGAAGTACTTGTTATAAGTATTACCACATTCCGTAAGAGCGGTGTCTTGGGACGGATATGTGCTCCGCCCGCGCGGGAGGTGTGAGTTATCTCTGCAACCGAACACAATGTAGCCAACAGCCGGTCATGTGTCAAGCGGGTCTGTCTTGGATTCACTTCTTTTAAAGTTTTCTGCCCGTTTCACCCTATAGCAGCGCGAAGGTAACGAATACTCTTCATTTCAGAGTCAGTTTGTTGCTGGTCGTGTTGCTTGTTTTAGTGTCAGATTTTCTGTCGGCTGATATGTTTGTTTGTTTTTCAACGTGAAACATGAAGAACCAGAGACTGGCATCAAGGCTACTTTATATTTAGAAGCACGGTAACCGAGTACGTCCGGTTTCTTTTGGTTTTGTTTGTTTGTTTATGTTAATGTTCGTTTTTATATTGAACCAAACAGTGGTGGAACAAATAAATTAACTAAGAATATTTTAGAAGTTAATATCCTTTATATGGAAAATCCTAATTAGGGTGTGTTAAGCAATGTATTCTGTTACCCCAGCCAATACTGGAGGTTTCCATTTTTAGACTTTTCGGGAAGTAAAACAAAATTTATTAGCTTTATAGCAACTTAATAATTTCTGCTCAAGTGTGGTGCATAATTTGCTACAGCTGCAGATAATATTGAGTACAATGTAAACAATGTAACCACTCTACTGGGCAAACTAGGTGATGACATCATTTCTAAATTACCACAAGCCTCTTTTTTTCAGCATTTAGTTCAATAAAAAAAATCAATCAATAAATAAAAAACAGTCAGAACATATAAGACAACAAATACCTTTGATATGATATATCTGTGATGTTCCAGTAACTGTTGATAATAGCAGTTAATTGATATAGCTTTCAGAACTGTAGTAGTATTTTTGTGTATTTTTAAGCAACCTTTGTTTATATGTAAAACTTTAATATATAAAACCTGTGTCAAAACAAAACAAAAACGTTTGTGTTATGTGTGAAATATTGTGAAGCAGTGTTGGAGACCATTAAATATAATTGTGGAAAATAACTGATATTGTCATGAAGTAAACAGATAAATCTCACTTTATCTCTACTAACACAAGCACCATTTCGTAAAGACATGGTATTTTGGAGCAAATTCATAGTTTCATCTTCTGGCCAGATGGGCATGAAGAGTCTCCACAGAAACCTGCTTCAGGGTGTTTGTCTATGGAGTCTGCTGGCTGTTCAGGTGAGCAGTTGTCCAGATAGCTGCAGTTTGTGTTCAGGGCCAGAAAATGACCAGTGTGAGGAATGCAGAGATGGATGGACACTCCATAATAAGATCTGTGTAGGTACTGTATACAGAGCTTCTTTCTGGAGTCAAGACATTATCACTTATATATTTAATTTTTTTAAAAAGGTGTTTTTACATTTTTAAATGTTGTGTTTTAGACATCGATGAGTGTGGCACACAGCTGGGTAACTGTCCTCCAAACAGTTACTGCTTTAATACAGAAGGATCCTTTGAGTGCAGAGGTCAGTGCCTTAGAGTTGGTGTTAAAGAAACTATGTTGGATACTCATGCAGAAAATTAAGAATTGGACCTATTGTTCACTTGTTTGCTTATTATTTGCAGCAGCTTAAGAATGCGATGCAGGCAGTGGATTAAAAAAAGGAAATGACCCCTCTTTTCTCAGGCTGCGACGTGGCCTGTGTGGGCTGCTTGGGTAGCGGACCAGCACGCTGCAGGAAATGTGCTTCTGGGTACAGACTGACAGGATCCAAGTGTTTGGGTAAATACAAGAGAATAGTTTGTGCATGATATATGCATGAGTTCCAAAAATGCTGGAACACTGTAAAACTGGCCTGTGCCATATTGTGTTGTAATAAAATACCTGGTATGATTCTTTCTCACAATATAAAAGTGTTTTTGCAATATTGTTGCCTTAAAAATAGCACAAAATGCACAAAAATGAGACAAGCTCAGGTGTGTTTGAAGAAAGAGCTTGTATGTCAGCCTCCAGTGAAAAGAGTACACTGAAAAAATATGCAAGAAAATTGTTCCCATTAGAGGTCAAAACAACAAAACTTGAGGCAAAAACACCATTGAGTGCAACCAGGCTATGAAGGAGGAGATACTAGTAGATGATTAAATGTGAACCAAAAGCAAACCAATGACTCAGTAAAGCATCGCTAGCTATATGTACTAGTTTCACTCTATATGACAGACAGAGCAAAAAGTAGGTGAAAAATAATGATGCAGGTACATGGTGGAAAAGTAGAGCTCCAAAGTTCTAGCTGCTTAAAAAGTCTGACCATTCTGTTGCTATTGTTTTGCTCAGATATAGATGAATGCAGTGACCGTGTGCTTGCCTGCCATGGTCTCGATGAGATTTGTACCAACACAGAAGGATCTTTCCGTTGTGACTGCGCTGAAGGATTCATCCGCATGGACAGTGTTTGCGTGAAAAAGCAGTTGCCTCGTGAGTGCCACCTAATGTTAACCATGGACACTTACAAATACATGAACAGAAAATTTGCTCAAAGGAAACCAAACTGAATTCTTCTTTTCTCCCACCCTTCTGCAGATTTTGAGGAGAAAGGTCTATTTGAGGATATCCAGGATGATGAGGTGGAGATACTGAAGCAGATGTTTTTTGGGGTGGTCCTTTGTGCTCTGGCAACACTTGCAGCAAAGGGAGATTTGGTCTACACATCTGTGTTTATGGGAGCATTGGCAGCCATGGCGGGTTACTGGCTTTCTGATCGAGGCGACCGATTGTTAAACAGCTTTGTAAAGGGACATTAGAGTTGCAGACTTTTGCAAAGAGAACTTTACAGGAAATGGACAAACCAATGCGCTGCTGCTTAGAGTGGCCATGGAGTTTTGCATTATTTTGTATTGTGTGGAATATAATATGTGCTTTTAAAAATGTCTTGTTTGTTAAAGTGTATAAACTATTACTTTAAGTTTATGCTGCTTATAAAATTTTTTGATTCAGGAGGGTGACATTTAGTGTGCCTTATCTTCTGCAAGTCTGCAGATTTTTCTCAGACTCATGGATTTAAATTGTTTTTCCATAAGTCAGTGTGTGATATCATGGTCCTTATGGAGTACGGAAAAGAAAATATATTTGTGCAGTGAGATTACAAAAGGTTGATTCAGTTAAGCAGCTAAAGAGTTGAAGTGCATTTGGTGGTATCTAACATCGTCTTATTTCGTAGAATAAAATTACAGATGTCTTGAATTCTATGTGCACATTGCAGTTTTAGTGAGTTTGATTACAGAGATTCAAGTAAAACCTGTTAAATCTTTAAAAGTATTGGCACATGCACCCAGGAAAAACTGACTTTCAGGGTCTCAAGTATCTTTCTCACAAGGACATTAATGAAGCTGCAGACATCTAAATACCACGGTGAATGTTGTCTCACTTTACACAAGTAAGAGCCAAAGAATCCAAACTAAAGATCTAAACAAAGGGGGGAGAAGGTATCTTAGCAGAAGGCTTAGGAAGAAAGTCATGTGTTTAGATTATTATATATATCAAACAAACACATTAATGTTGTGCTCCTGCAGCAGTCCAAGGTAATGACCATGGCCAGTTTTCCATATAAAATGCTGCTGTTATTTGTATGTACTGCATTAGAAATGACCAACGATTGGGGTTTTTTTTCTCTGTATTTGGAGCAGCCAAAATACAATGAGAGGATTCTTTCACCACCCTTTTTTTTTTTTTTTTTTTTTTTTTTTTTTTTTTTTTAGGTACACCTGTTCAGCTGCCGTTTATGCAAATATATAGTTGGCTAATGATTTAAGTGACTTTGACTATGTCAAGGTTGTTGTTGCCAGACAGCCTGGTCTCAGTATTTCACAAACTGGTGATCTATTTAAAATTTCCCAACATAACCATCTTTATAGTTTACAGATGATGGTCCAAGGCATGTGGACCCCAGCTCAGCAGCCAGACCCTGAACTTTAACATGTAGCAAAAGCAGCGATGAGCAGTTAGGCTGCTGCCTCCATTTCTACCTGTTCATGTTTCTGAAGTCAAAGTCTCTCTGTGCTGGTTTTCATCTTTGCTTTTTGCTGTCAGCACAAACTAAAGGAAAGATTATGTGTCCTCATTAGGATCCTGATTTGTGTTGGTGTATGGAAATTTGTAGTAAAGCTGTTATGTTCAATGCTTTCCATGTGCACATTTTTCAAGGTATAAATGCTCAAATAAATACTTTACATACAGTTATTCTGAATCAGTCATCTTCAGTGAGCATTAAATCAGGTTTTAACTTAAAGAAGGTAGACAAAGTTTATGTATAAAGTAGCAACTGTTTAAGTGATTTTAGTTGAAAAATCACAAACGCAGACAGAAAGAAAGTCACCTTTATTTGATGGATATAAACAAGCTGGCCAACACTCAATAGTAATATTCTGATACAGCACATACAATAGCAAACTGGGGCACTGAGGACAGCCTCCTATAGTTTTTATAAAACAAAACATTACAGAGTATCCATGCTTTTTTTTTCCCCCAAACTTACTCAATCTCACTTTTTTTTTTAAATTTAGGGACTTTCTCTTTATAAAGTTGTTGTTGTTTTTGTTCAGTTTTTTTTAAATAGTTTTATCTTGTGCATTCACACAACAACATACACGCACTCATAAACAAATAAATTGCAGTTATGCACGCACACATCCCTCTTTTCTGAATGCATTTACACCAGCAACTCCAAGAACATGCTGCACTCTCACAGAACTGCACAGGCTGTCTACTAAGGGGACACAGTAAGTGAGACACACATCACTCTCAAACACAACATCACACCGTCACAATGCACGATGCAGATGCAATTAATGTATGAGGAATGATGCTTTATGGGAGATTAGCTCACGTTCACACGAATAATCATTCAGCATGCTGGACACACATTTAGTTTGCTCCTTGGTTTTTACTGTACACCTCAAAACATTTACCTATACAAATAGTACAGTCTCAAACTGGCATGTTCAGTGCACCGAAAAAATAGAAAAAATAAAGCTAACTTAAATACAAAAAAATGAATAATAAAAAAGTAAACATAATATTTGTTCCGTTAAACAAAAGCGTTTCTGGCATTGGTCACAGTGATTTGTTTAATCCAAAGTTTTCAGTGATTTGCAGTAAAACAAAAACAACCTGTTTACAAGAATACAGTGAAAATGTATGGTAGGCTTTTTTTTTTCTTTTTTCTGAAGGCTTTTGAAAATTACTGGTGACTTTTCAAGTCTTTCTACACATCTGTTTCTAGGCACCGATGAAGCCTTGCCTTCTCAAATCTGCCACGCGCAATGTCAGATTACTCTTGCGTCTAAGCTCAGGAAACCAGTCCCAGCCTCTAAGCCTTGGTGTCTCCGAAACCTTTTTTTGACGCAACAGTAGAGAAATCGCTCTGCATAGAGAACAGGAGATTATCCTTACATCATCGCTTTCAGTTGGCACATTATGTAAAAATCGACATGCATGGGCACAATTGAAATGTCGTCTACCATGTAAATCATATGTTACTATTTCATGGTAGGAGAACTCCCTACTTCAAGTATTCAGTAGATAAGGACCTGAAAATAGAGGATTCATACTTCATCCCCCTCTCGGTGTAGTGAGAGGATTGTTGCTCCTCTGTCTGTTTGCATTGTCTTCCCTTTTGTTTTTTTTAAACATCCAAGTCAGGATTTATCTTAACATTTGTAAACACAAACAGCAAGGTTTCACACGGTCTGTTGGTTCTTGGTCAGTGGATCAGAGCTGTAACGGTGGGAAGCAGACACATAAAAGATGATGCACAGATCACCTTGGAGTGATGAGTAAATGGAAAGACATTTATATACAACAACCAACACTTGGCCATAAAAGGGAGACACACAGGCACTATGAGGGTTAGAGAGAGGAACTGGGGATTGTAACAGTCTACTTCATTTTTCCACTATACTGTAACAATTTGTGTGCGCGTGTGGTTTTTTTTTCTACTCGGTTAGCTGTCACAGTCACATACATCATCACTTCGGCTTACGAGACAACAACAACGACAAACACACGAAGGAAATGCATCCAGACAGAGTCACTCAAACCTCCGGTTGGGTGATAACTGTGATAGTCCTCTCACAAGTGCAAGCTTCTGACTGCTGAGTTCAGCAGACATAATCTCAATGCTACCTGTGCGAGCTGCAAAATTAAAAAAATAAATAAAGTCGCTGTTCAAAGTCGTCACCACAGGCAAAGTGGTCTTCAACTGAGTTGTTTTTCACATTAAGAAAGGAATGTAATAATGTCACCTTTTCTAAACTTCTAGATAGATTTGGATACACTTCTTTGTTTCCCATAAACTGTCCTAAAGCTCTTAATTTTTTTTTATTTGGGCTGTCCTGTATTTTCAGACAGGGAATGTTAAATTTGCTGCTGAGGGGGGTTTTCATATACAGTACAAATCAGAGGAAAATCACACCGCTCAACGCTCTAAATAAGACATTTCTCAGACCTCCAGCCAGATAGAAAAATAACCATGAAGAAAAAAGAAACATATATATATTATATATATATATTTATATAGTATCTTGTCAGTTTGAAATGATTTTCTGACCACATATAGACACACTCTATAGATTTCTCTCTATATGTATAATATATTCATATCTATCATATGTGTACAGTTTTTACGAGGCACAGGCCACCTTGTTGAGAAGGAGAAAACAAGTCACTATGTTTGGGGAGGTCACACAAACTACTGCTGGAAGAGTACAAGGGAGAGGGGAGCAGGAGCATACTCTAGGTCAGACACTGGTGTGTCAGTGGCTCCAATAGACCTGCAGGATAAACATCTATTGGACACTGCCTTCTCTTTATAGTCTAGAATGATGCTTATAGTAGCAGTATTTGCTGAGGGACCTAGCCTCTGTGTGTGGATCACAAACCCCATTTGTCAAATCATATGTACAAAGAACTCCTTTACAGTTGTTTATGAAGCCCATTGTGGGATCAAGTCCCTTTACTGTAAAAGGACTAAAAGATGCTCTTTACCAGGTCTTCTCACACCGTTTAGTTTGAGCACCAGCAGAAGCACCATTAGTAAAAATTCCTGCAACACAGAGGAGGTGCATAGGTGCATAGTCTCAGAAATAATCTAAATAATCTGATCAATATATTCTGACCACTCCCTTGGCTGCTGTGATTGGACAATTAAATCATTTTGACTTGATTTAAGTAAGGATGGGAATGCATTCACTCTATGTTTACATCTGCATAGTTTATTTCTTTTTTTGACTACTTTTGATTAAAATGAGGTAAGATGAAGATAAAATCCAGTGCAGCCACAGCCTTAAGGCTAAAACTAGCCAGAGAACTGGAAGGCCCTGCTTGCACAGCCACAGAGACCTCTTGATGTTGCAGGCAAGGCTCAAGCCTGTCATCAGTCAGATCAAAGCTCTTCGTTTTACCAACAAGAAATGACAAAAGAAACCCTAAAACCACTTAATCTGGACTGTGTGGAACATGCTAGTAAAGGGACACCACGTCACGTTTAGAAATGCTGAAGAAACACATGGCAGGTAAAAAGGTTAAAAAAAGAAAAAGAAAGGAAGAAGTCACTGCGTGCCACGGAGGGAAAATATAGCTCAGCAAAACAATCTGATGATTACAACACGCCGAAGGTCATGACAGCCAGGCAGAGGGGTCAGATGTCACCAGGTGAGTCAGGAGGGCAGTGAGGATTGAAAAACCATGACAAGAGTCAGGCGGAGGAGCCAACCAGAGCCAGAGGAGTCAGTTAGGCAGGTGAAACAGTCAGCAAGACAACCATGATCTTGAACCAGTCAAAGGAAGAAGGAGGAAGGAAGAAATACTGGGCTGACAGACGGTCATGAGATCTCTGCTGGGTGGATCAAGAGAGCGCCGTTGGCCTGAACTTGTGACAGACAGGTGAGTTGACCTCGGTGTAACCTCTGATACAGTGCTCCCGTGTTAATCACATGTCCAAGCAACAATTAGACACACACAGAACATCTCTTTCTCCATATCGTTCTCTCTCCTTCCATTTCAGTTGTGAATATCTAATGTTGTGTGAAGTGGAGTGCGTCTTGTCCTGTTCACACCAAGAAGAGCTCCCACATCACCTTAAACAGAACATGAAGGAGACAGTGGAAGTTTCAGTTTGGAAAGATTTTTCTTTTAGTGTAATTAATATAATGTTCACTACAGCATGTCTATGCGTGTCCAGATGGGTGAAATACCTGCTCAGCTGTCAGTCTCTATGCATGACCTGCACACCTGAGTTCCCCCTCCTCTTCCTGGGAAAAAAAGGTCCCGTTGCTGGGTACTGATTGAGTGGAGGTAATAAATATTTAGTTGGGTAGTGTTACAACATCATGGCATGGCTGTGCTCCTCCAGTAGTGACTGAATCATCTGAATGTGAGAAAAAAAAAATACAAAGATATATAAAGATAAAAATATAAATCTGACAAACATGCTGAGATTTTTACAAAACACCACAGACTCCGCTGGCAAAGAAGTAAAATTAAGAAAGTCTTAAATATTTCTCACCCCTCAAAACAACATTAGAGCTTTGGTTGTCACAGCAAGGATTATGCCCAAATGCCCTCCTCGTCATCCTGTCGTTGGCAGCGTTATGCATGAGGAGAAGAAAGCAGCAGAAGCTGTTATGTTGCTTTTATTCAAAGCAGCATTGAGAACTGGAGGGACTGAAACTGTGTCTTATTTATTGAGACCAACATCTGGTGACTGGAGCGATGTCAGCGGTTAATTCTTTGTTCGCTTAATGTCACAACTATTTCTCTACAACAGAATTTTAACATTGCATCTATTGTCCAACTACTGTGCTACTGTGTATTTGACAGTCTGTCAAAGCAAACTTCTAACCATCATGGCTGAGATTATCACAGATATCTGTGTCACATGCAAGTACAGTATGTAGCTTGTGGCATTTGTTGGTCACAGTTATTAGATTAACTGAGTTTTAAGACATTTTTACTTTTCCATATCAAAAAGACGTCAGTGCTGACCTTTGAAACATGTTGTAAATAGCATTTAATAACAGAGATAACATGTGTGATCTTACCTGGTCTGGGGAAGGGCGATGACCAGCATGCGGGGGTCCTCGGGCTGGTCCCCCGCGATGGTGGGGCGACGGGTGACGTGGATGTTGGGCATGGTGAGGGTGTTGGGGATGCTGAGGGTGCTGGGGGTGCTGGGGGTGCTGAGGGTGTGGATGTTGGGGGTGTGGCCCCTGTTGCGGAGGTCCGTGTGGGTGCTGAGGGTGAGGGTGCTGCGGAGGCAGATGCCCATGTGGGTGCTGCTGAGGATGCTGGGGGTGCTGTTGGTGAGGGTGCTGGGGCTGTGGAGGGCGTGGGTGCTGTTGGTGCTGGGGAGGTGGCTGAGGGTGCTGAGGATGTTGCTGGTGAGGAGGGTGAGGGTACTGCATCTGTGGCTGCTGTGGGTGTGGGTGTTGCTGGGATGCCTGTGGGTGCTGTGGGTGTTGCAGGTGCTGTGGGTGCTGTTGGTGTTGCGGATGTTGCGGGTGCGGGGCGTGTGGATATGGAGTCTGTTGAGGGTGGGGAGCGTGGGAATACTGGGGCTGGGGCTGAGGTGGAGCATGTGGGGGCTGAGACTGGGGGTGGTGAGGAGCATGTGGATGATATTGCTCGTCTTCATAGTTGTCGGCTATCAGCTTCATTCTGCTTTGTGTCTGTAGGAGGAGGGCAGAGGTCAGTGCATGACGCTCTGCAGTTGGCAGAAGTGAGGAGACTGCACACTTGCAGTACATGGCAGCAACTTGTCAGTAACAAAGTAACTGTCGCTGTCCTAATTCATAACATAAAAATCAGGTTGTATTAAATAAGGCTTATAACTACTGATTAAGATGAGCAACAACTCTCACCTCCTACTGGCAGTTAGAAAGAATGTATAACTCTTAGACACATTTACAATGGCTTTAGGCCTAGAGGCTTCCTCCATTCTTTATATACCGTCTGTGGTTAAACTACAGTACAATTCCAGGTGACCATCCACTGTTCAAGGATCAGTTTATGTGCTTCCAAGGTGACATAAGACAAAAACTAGAGACAGAAAAGTGGCCAGATTGCCTCTGCCAGAATTTTACGTGTGTAAATCATACTAGAGCTGTACGCTTTAAAATTTGAGTTAGCTTAAAATAAAAAAAAAATTAAAAAACGGAATATTTGAGACTGCTGCAAAACTGAAGTCTTGGAGGCACAGACTTCTTATTCAACTCTGATGTTTACGGCCACAAATTATTTGCAAATTGAGATGATAATGACATCACTTCATTTTAGTACTAGTCTGGAATTAACAAAGACTTAAGAAATAAAAGCAGAAAAATGACTCTGAACTTGCAAAGTGGTCATGCAGTGATAACCTTGTAGAAAATTGTTTAGCTGACTTGTACAGCTACATTTTTTATTTTGGCAACAAGCATCGGCAGAGAGAAATTTCCTTGGAAGTATGCTGCAGTACTAACATGTTGTTTGAGCTGGTGCATCAGTTTGTCCCGCTCCCTCTTGAGGGCTAGCACCTCCTCCTGGGTCTTCTTTTTATTCGAGGCAGACAGTTCCAGCAGTGCAATATTAGCATCTTTCTCACTAATTGCTGCCAGCAGAGCTTGTTGTCTGAAAGAAAAACAACATAAAACACTACAGTAGTATCTCCAGAAAGATTTAGCTATCAGATAGAAGGCCTCACATTTGACTCTAGAATACTTTGATATACAGAGGTACTCATGATCGACTCAGTGATTACAAGGTGCTCAGACCCTGCGACTGAAAAACAAGCCAAAATCATCACCCCACCAACACTGTGCTTTAACAGGGTATGAGGTGTTTGTACTGATATGTTGTGTTTGGTTTTTGTCAAACTTTGTGCTAATTATTATTAGCAAACATCGCCACATTGATCTCATTTGTCCAGGACAGTTTTTTCTTAAGATGCACTTTTACGATGTGTGCTACCATGTTCTTCTGGCTGTCCCATACAAGCCAAACTGTCATGAACTTCAACATTTAACAAGCTAACCAAGGCATGTAGAGTCTGAGATTTTGTGTTTTTTTCTGCAATTTCTCTGGACATTATCTGGCCTCAGGGTGAATGTGCAGCACATATTGACTTTTGGGTAGATTTAAGGAGCTTGGGAAGAAAAATTATTGGACTATTTTAAGTTTCTTGAAGAGGTTTCACTTCAGAGAAGCTTCTTCAGTTCTAAGACCAAATGGTGGAGAGCCCCAGGTATTCCCTAGTGGGAGTTGTCCCTTTAAAAAAAACTGGGACTCTCCACCATTTGGTCTTAGAACTGAAGCTTCCTGGATGAGAAGTGAAACCTCTTCAAGAAACTTAGATTACAATGACCTGGATGACTGAGAACCTACACAGACATTTTGGGTAGATTGGCTACTGTTTTGAGAAACAGTGTGACCATCGTGGTGGATTTCAGATTACTTTTTGTTCTGATAATGAAATCAAATTTCAATTTAGCAGTGCTATGTCGGCTGTCTTCTCATAAAGACGGTGGGGAAGGACAAAAACAAATGAACTGGATTACATTTTGAGAAAAGAAATTAATAAAGCAGGCTTAATTACAAGAACATTTTTTAAAAAAGGAGGTTGAAAATGTAGACCGCCAATCTGATTTTTGCTAACAGCAAATCTCAGAAAACACTAACTTCATTTCAAGGATCTCCTCCAGCTGTTTCCTGCGTTCTTGTCTCATGTTGGTGAGGTGAGTGTCCCTCTCCTGTAAAGACTGCTGTGTGGAGGAGAGACGCTGCTTGGTGGCATCCAGCTCTTGCCTCGTCCTTTCTAGCGTGTTCATTAGCTCCTCCAACTGACGTTTGGGAAAACAAGGACATATATCTCATTAGGTAATTATTAAACTGTGTATCATCAGGGGTAAAAAAAATTTTTATTAGGGTACATCACCTTCAAGTGGTGACCACCATCTATGGAGCTGTCCTTACGAGGGTCCTGTCCCAAGCCTTTCTTGTCACCTTGCAGCCCCAGTTTGATGTTTGAACCCTTTTTAGCTTGATCTTTACCCCCTTGTCTGCAAAACCACAAAATTTGTGCATTTCCATTAAAAGTCAGTAGAGTTATATGAAAAATATGTAGACTTATGAAATGGGTGCATTTTATACCCAAAACCACAACAAAAATGTGAAACACAAAACAAGCAAAGCCAGTACAGCAATGGGCGATCATGTCAAGTGCATTTTGAATGTATTCAGTTTCAAAATAGTACCGCTTATGAGATCACCAGGACAACAACAAAACATGAGCATCACAGATGTAGCGATAGCTTCATGTTAATTGCATTGCTGAGATAAATCACAGATTTAAGCACCAGTGTTAGGATGGAGTTAGGAAGAAATGGGGATGTAATGGGAGCAGGGTCATTACTTACCTGGGAGCTAGACTGCAGATGGGGAAAGGAAAAGGCAGAAGACAAGGGGTTGATGGAACGAGTGAAGTAGACATTGGAAGCAGGAAATAAGAGAACACACAGGAAAGTAAAAAGCAAACAAAACAGACACATTAGAACCAGAACATAAAGAAACAATCACAAGAAAAAAGTACAGTGAACCCAGAGGAGATCACGCTGTGTTCATTGCTCATCCAACAACATGGAAAATTACAAACACGCCTGTGGCAGTCACTGCTCTGCAGCCTGACACAGCTAATGCAGGATGCACCTTCTCTGAAAACAAGGGCCCATGTGCATCTTCTGCCAAGCCTGGAAGTGGCAGACATGCATTTAGTCAGGCAAAAGTTAGCCGGGCAAAAATAAGAGGAGAGGACAGGTTGGAGAGTCGAGCAAAAGGAGAGGAAGCCAACGGTGGATTGATCAAGTGGGCAAGAAGGGAGCTAGTGGGAGAATCAGTTATGGATGCAGGGTTGTTCAGACAGAAAAGACCTGACTGAACTGACACACTTCAGGACTGAGGGCTCAGTCCAGACCCTACCTACTACAGCACCCCACACTGAGCGCGTGTAGACGTGGAGCACAGCAGCTCTATTCATGCAGGCCACTAGGGCTGATCTTTTCCTTTAGTATCTCGTAGAGCAAGCTAGGCAGGGCACGTGGGGGCAGGTTGGGATGGAAAGCAGGAAGAAGGGGGCACTAGAAAATAGGGTCTGTTAGGTGGTGTTAATGGGATATGAGGGTGCAAGGGTGGCTGGGTCACAGAGGGTGACTTGGGGTGAGGCGAGCAGATGGGTGGCTGGAATGAGAAGGGGAAGCGTGCTCGTGGCAACAGCAAACATTAGCTGAGGGCAGACACTTATACAATAAGCTACTACAAACAACCAACGCCACAAAAAGACACAAAAGGGTGTATATTTGTGTGTCTTAAAGTGTGTTAGCAGGAAGCTATTTCCACAAGAACACAAGGAAGTATAGCAAGTTCAAATAAAATGTAAAAAAAGTAAAGAAGTCAAAGCAAGTGGGTAAATCACACCAAGTTCTATAGATAAAGGTGCTGATGCGTGCATTATTTGCAGTATTATTAGTATTAAAACATTTACAGTATATACAATGCGTTTTTAGTTAGGGTTACAAATTACAAAACATTTGCTTATAACACTGCAATTTTTATATTGACAGTTTGCTGCAACACCGATGTGACTGAATTTACTGTGTGACTTTACCAAGCATCACCACAGAAACACGCCAAAACAGTAAAAAATGAGTGTAGCATGTGGTGCAAATAAATGGCAAGCAATATATGCCTATCTGGACATATATTCACAACATTATGACCTGATGATTTGCATTTATATGAAGTACAACCCTTGATCTTTAAGGTTTGAACTTCATATTTGCTTAAAATTTCACATGGCTGTTTAATTTGCTGTGATTGCTCATGCAGCAAAATATTTGTGGACTTTTTTCCCACTTTACATCATCAGTGCACAGATAAATGAGTTTTAATGATGACTGCTGCCCCCAAAATAAACATGCAACACAAACTCCTTCTCCCTTACACGTGTATACATGCACACGTGCACACACACACACACACGCGTAGAAAAGCTCCTTAAATGATCAAAAAGCAGTCACGGACACAGATGCAGACTAGAAAGCAAAAACATTCTAAAGAAATGAAATCAAAATGAATCCAGGGATCTTTGTATCATGTACGCGAATAAAATAATGGCACCACGGACTAAAAACAGACTGTGTAACTCTGATACAAAGATTTTTGAATCCTTCAAACAGCAGGCAGACCCAGGTACACAGGTGAAACCAGATGCAGTTGCGGCAGTCGCAGTCGGAGACTTTAACCACGCAGCCAAGCCTTAAGTGCCAGGGCAGAGCACTCACTTTCCCAGGAAATCCCACACCATGCCCCCTATCTGCTGGGGAGCAGTGGACACAGAAGGGAGCGGGTCAGGGGGAGCTCTGCCACCGGGACGAGGGGTGGGGCGGGGGGCGGGGGGAGGGGGGCTGGTGTCAAAACAGAGAAAGATTTGCAAGGGAGATGAAGAAAAGATTTTGAAAAATCAGAATCAGATTTCAGAACAGAAGAGAAGTAGGTTGAAAGTTGATTCATGGCCAGGGGTAAAGAGAGGGGCAGGTGAGCATGGTACAGAAGAGAGAGGGAAATGGGACGGAGAAAAGTGGGTAAAGATGGCAAAAAAAAGGACAAGAAGACGCAATTAATCAAACACCACTAACAAAGTATCACGACATTAATCCTATAATGATCTGAGAAGGGAGTATATAAGTGTCTTTAACACTAAGCAGTGGCAGGGGAGAAGGGCTGTGTGGTCCTCATGCAGATCAACCAATCCCTATGTTAGTCTCATCCGTCTGAATCCTGTCCAGGTAAAGGACGATGATCTCCTTCATTAGACAAACCAAAGTGCAAATAAACTTGCAGTACTGCTCCCAGGAGAGAACCAGAGAGGCCACCTGCTTTATTTCTGCACTCCATTAACTGGACTCAGATGACCTCTTCCGAAAGAGAAGTGGCTGAGTGGAGCATTGCTGATATTTATAAACAAAACCTAAACGTGTAAATCAAAACTGTGTGTACAGAGCACATTATCCAATACCATCGAGTGCAGTGCAGTATGAGAACACCACAACTGAACATAACATGGAAACACTATGAAAATGTGCACAGAGCCACATGGACATTTGCCCAGCATACACCGAACACAGAGAACTGTAAAGCTGACAAACAGATGCATCCAGATCAAGAATAGACTGCTCAGAGCTACTCAGCACAAACAGTGGCACACTGTATTGCTTATGGTAATACCATTAGAGAGTTGGGTAACCTAAATTACAAAATAAACTGATTTATCTGAAGATAAATGGGGTTTTGTTTGCGATATAGAGAGTAGCAGATTTAAAACCATCTCTTTATGCCGGGTTACTTGTTATGATGTGAAACAAGCCACAGAAAAATATTTATTTTTTGTATCATACACAACGTTTTGAGCATTTTGGCCTTGGCCATTTTTTTCTCTTTTCTTTTTTAGTAACATAAAGGGGGACTTCCACTTTTCACGTATAATTTTACTTCCAGCAGACCTGTTCTCTATTTGGGACGCTAATTTACAAAATTTATCTCATGTTGTATCTTATATGAGCTAAAACTAATAAAACAGACAATAAACTCATAAAGAAAATGTCATTTTCATGAGGCCCTTTTCTCATGCAGTCCTTTACAAATGGATTTCTTTTTGAATTGGCCAACAGAAAGAATGGTGATTTAAGAAACACCTTTATTAGTGTCCTAAACCTGCTACATCCATCTTTTCTATATACAGTCTATGATCATACATGAAATAAACACACCGTATGTATGTATTGATAAGTTTGTTTTTCCTTTTCTTTACTTGTTTTCTCCCATTTTTTGTGTTTTTATATTCCCTATATTTATATTGTATATAAATATATTGAAGCTAAGTAGAGAGCTAAAAAATAAACAAAGAATGGATGTATCAGGCATTTTCAGGCAAACATGTTAAATTACCTAAGAGGTTTGCTAAAATTGCAGGCAGGTATGCTAATTTTTATCTTCATAGATGTAACAATGGTCATAGAAAACAGAGTGTTTGTTAAAAGGGAAGCATTAAAGCAGTGCAGGCTAATATGCAGTCAGAATTAGTTACCTTTCCAACTCAGCAATTTTCTTGTCCTTATCATTCTTTTCGGTTTCCACCTCTCGCAGGATGTCCAGCAGTCTCTCCACCTCTGTCTGAGCCTTATTAGCTTCATCCTTGTAGTAGCTCACCTCCTTTTCCAGCAGTTTCACCCGGTCCACATACTCTGGGTTCCCTCTGGAGCCCGACTGCTGCTCCACTTCATGGGCTTTCTGCATCAACATGCCAAGAAAAGACAAATACAAACATGTACACGCCCAAAGACACACAGTTAACAAAAATAACAACCCAGTATCAACAAAAGTGTGAAGCGCAGAACGTTTTACTGTCAATGAAAGAGAGATACATACAGTACACTGTAGTCCATCAGTGACTTATATTATCTACGTCTCTTGCAGTGTCCCTGTACTTTCAAATGAATAAAGCCGAGGCAAATGTTGTGGATGAGGGCATCATTACTGGTACTGGCTCATTAGTTTTAACAAAGCTATTATTTAGCTCCAATTAAATGGTCCATTGAGACTCACTTCATGCACATGGAGTAGAATACAGGACTTCAGGATAGTCTGTGAGAGTTTTGTATGTCTGTGACAATAATAACAAATCATTATAGTTAAGCACTAAATTGATTCACTGGCTATCAAAATCAGAGGTCTAGTTTTTGGACAGCAAGGACATCTCTCCACTACAGTGGTACACAGCACCCTGGACAATACACAGCCACATATGTTAACACATATCGCAGAGTTACACAGAGCCATCCACCAAAACACTGCAGTGATCTTCAACCACGGCCGATACCTTCGCTAACAGCACCACACTGAGACAAAAGAGAAGCGTGGCAACACTGATACTGACAACTAGAGCTGGGCGATATGAGATTTTTTCATATCACGATATGTTTTTTTCATTTCAGGCGATAACGATATCTATCACGATATGAGCCAAATAACTATATTTGTAAGATTTAAATGTGCCGTTGCTCACAAGTAAAATGTGAAATAATCAGCAGCTTGTTTTTATTTAAATATTTATTTCCCATAATAAGTTCAACAGGGTAGATGTACTTAAGGAACATGAGACTTTTTCAGATAAATAAAGGCAAATATTGCAAACTACACAAAAGGCAGCCGCTAAAGCGTTTAAGTTTCAAAATAGAACAAACGAAACAGACTAAATTGTCAATTCCACTTAGAAACAAAATATTAATTCTAAAAATAAATCTTAGTTTGTTTTACAGAAGAACAGACAAAACTGACTAACTTTTGTCAATATCAAATAAACTGAGAACTAAAAGGAAATTCTCAATCTCTCCTTGTTGTATAGCTTAGCTTTTCAAACAGTTTTAACCGTTACTTTAGTCTGACATAGCCGAATGACGAATTAGCGCTTCCAGTCAGAGACTGAGGCTACGTCCACACGTACACGGGTATTTTTGAAAACGGAGATTTTCCGTTTTCGTTTTAGAAAATAATCCCGTCCACACATAAAGGCAGAAATGAAGGAAAACGCTGCTATGAACATGCCAAAGCAGCAGGTGGCGCTAGATTCCTAACCGTGCAGAAATGTTGGCCAATCAGAAGTCTAGAAGCCTCGGTGGGAAAAAGTAAACAAAGCTGGGGCACAGAAGCAGAACCGAGTCGTATGTGTGGAGGGACAGTAACTGTGTGTATATGTAAGCATTTAAACACTGCAGAGAGTAGTAACAAAGTAACAGTAACAGTATTGTAGAAATTCATTTCACCGAAACAATAACGTGGCGCACAGTGTGACGCATGCACCAGTTTATTGTATTTCCAGACTTGCTTTCGGCACAATTTACAGTGCGCGCTACTCTATTTTTTGTCAGACTTGAAATAGCCGAAATACCTTCACACTACGGAATTTTTATGGCTCTTCTGTTCGACAATCTCTCCGGCATTGGAACCATCATTTGTTTTCTCTTCGGTCACGCTCGGTTGATTTTTCTAGTCGGCACACTCATTTCCTCCATTACCTGCTGGCTGCTTCCCAAACAAACACACGTGCGGCTTGGCACTTGTGCTGTATGTAACAAGTGACGCGACGTGACACTGCGGCTGTGATTGGTTCGGCTCTGCGCTACTTGATTTGGATTGGCTGGCCTTTTTTTTTTTTTTTTTTTTTTTTTTTTTTTTTTAAGAGGACAAGAGCGGCGAGGTCTATCGCGATAGCTTAATTTCTCTATCGAGTAAAAGTTATATCGCGATACATATCGTTATCGTTCTATCGCCCAGCTATACTGACAACATGCACAAAGGTCGACCAAGTCATGCAAACCCAACGAAGCTGCACAGTCTTTGCAATTGTCAGTCCAAAGAATGAAGAAAGAGAAGCAAGGGTGACCAAGTAAATCTGTTCTAACTGTCATATTTTATGCATGAGGAACGATGCTAGAGTTTAGCTTAGAGGAGATATACATAATTTTATTTAAGACCCAATAATCCTAGTTGAAATTTATGAAAAATAACTACAACAGACAGTTATTGGACAACAAATTGCCCTCCATATGGCCCCTGCAAATATTGCAATGAACAGTATACTACAGAAGAGCATTTATAGGAGGCTATAGGAAGGAAGCACTTGATGATTTGAGGATTTTGCAGTTCAATTACTTTATTTATTTGAATGCATTCTGTGTTTTTATTCTGTTTTCCTTATCTATAACATTTGTTTAAGAACCTCTGAAATTGCCAAGATTCACAAAATACACAAAAGTGGATCAAGTTGGGGGGATGTCAATATTATAATTCACTGTCAAATAGTTTGATATTTTTTGAGGATTTTCACAGAGATGCTAAAACACACTGAACTGAAATGCTGTGCTAAAAATGTAATATTTAGACATAATTCAATGACAAATATGTATTAAAGAAAGGTTTGTTCACTCTGTTTGCCTCTTTTAATTTTTTTCACTGGTTATAAGTGCACCAAATATGAGGAAACTTGAATGCCATGTCCTGTGACTTCAATTGCATAAAGTCTCTGAAAGTCCAATGAAAAGTTTACTATTAATTTGTCATATTCCCCACATGAGCTTCTATGACAAAACACACGTGTGCTGCATTTGAGGTCAGTGTAACCTGTACAATTCAGTGAATGTATGGGTTCCTGTTGCCACACAACTTCCCAGATGAGGCCTTAGTGACTAAAAACATTACCATTAAATTTAGCTATAGATACAAAATTTTACATAAATGTAAAATTTGTTACATTTAAATGTTTTTTTTGTGCTGTGGAAGAATATGACAGTTTATTAAGTATAACCACCGAAAAAACTATCTACAAAGCCAAAACTTAAAAAAACAACAACAACTTCACACATAGTTAAAGCTAATGCAGTCTAACAGTCCTGCAATTAATCCCAGGTGTGTCCTTACATGACACAGTGTAATGAGGCTATACTAAATCATAGGAAGACTTTTACATGTAAAATGTAATTACAACAAAGGGCAATAAACAGCTGTATAAAATTAACCCTCATAAAGACAGAATTTATTGCAAGATTGTTGTTTTAGTTTGAGCTACATATACTTAATAAAAATGGCAGAAGAATCTATATTGAGCACGTTCCAGCAGACTAAGTAAGCCTTCAGTTCTACATATATGCAGCACCAATTTCACCACATATCACAAACAGTTACAGGATGAGCACAGTGCACAGGACTCTGACTGCAGCTCATTATATCAGTACAGTGCAATGAACAACATGCATCCTGGGTGGGTGAAAGCAGGACCTGTGCTGGGGTTTGGCACGATCACCATCTAGCATATTTCAAGGAAGTTATCAGTGTCCTCATGCTTTCAATATGTGCCTCAGAGAGCTCAGGAGAGGGACTTACAGGAGTGTTCATGTGACTGAATAGCTGCTCAGCTTGCTACATTGCAAACAGAGGGTTTGAGGAAGGAACAGGAGGGAGACGGGGGAGTCCCGGGAGAGTAAATGTCAGGATTGAGTTTGAGCCAAAGAGAGAACAGCAGGATCAGACATGGTACAATACATGTTTGACAGATAAGTAACATAGTACACATGTTGTTAGGCTAACGGCAACACAACAGAGACAAACACAGAGGAAGAGATGATACAGCGATAGTCTCAAGAAGGAGAAGAAGAAGGCAAAGAGGGATATTTAATGACTGCCTGCTACTTGCAACACCCTTAAAAAGCATGGCTGCCTGTTACAGGAGACAAAGCACGATGGCAGCCATTAGCCTAATGAAGTGTGCTTTATATAAGGTCTGTTCACATTTCTTGTTCAGGTCCAAAGAAACAGCCTAATGAAGGATAACATGTTCTCAGAAGTGAGACCTCAGTATTCTTGTTTCTTTACTGCTACTTTAATTTTTAAATGGGACAGAGCTGTCTTCACTAAATAATCTGTGATCATACTTAATCTTCCCTCAATGACACAGGCCAAGATCAGACCAGCAGGAAAATATGAACAGAGAAAATACACTGCACGTTAATTTGGCCAATCATTTCTACAAAAGGAAAGTAGCCTTTTTTTCTTATGTCTGTAACTGCTTAACAGTCTCCACTAAAGTGGTCCCTGAATTCACAATGAGCTCATTCCTTTCTTCGCAGTGGACACTCAGCTCTGGCTTCTTATCTACAATTCAGTGCAATTAAAGAGAGACATTGCTGCAGTCTTCATTCAGAGTACAGAAGCTCTCTGCAATTCAGACAAAGAGACATCCATAGAAAATGTTGCCGTACTGACTGCTAAAATGGTCAGCTTTCATCCAGACATTTCTGAAATCATCAGCGGAAAGTCATCATTTATATATGACCTTCAGTAAGAGTAGCATTAGGCTCATTTTTAAGTTCTTTCTTCACAGTGGATCACTGATAGCAAAACAGTGTTAACCAGTGTTAAAGTCCAGAACATGGCTGCTGTCAAGCTGTTAAACACAGGTTTCCTGAGCACATGAAATTGCTTAACTTTATATAGAGATTGAATAGTACAATCAAAAGCTTAGCAGCAGCTCCAACATGAAACTTGCTGCGGTGTCGTTTTCCCAACACGTGCAAACTTGTATGAGTCTGTGTGGTGTAATGCTAGCTTTACTACACTGTTTGACCCCAATTCAGGATTTCCGACTTTTCCACCTTTACTTGATTTCCCTCTAACTGAAGCACAACAGATCTTTAAAACCAAAAAAACTGGATAATTAGGATTGGCTGCAAAAAGTAACTGTGTAAAAATGAGCATTAGATAAGCCGTCTTTTAATATAGATGGCTGTGGGAACCATAATCTGTAATTACTTCTTTCAAAACAACCTGCTGAAAAATTCTCTACAGGTTAAAAACTGTGAATTGCTCGTCTCTTAAAATCTAAATTAAAATTTTGCATTATAGTGTGCGAGGTGATTCGGTGGTGAGAGATGCACACCTACCTTCTGTAACTGTGTCTCCAACTTACTACATTCCTCTTTTTTCTGCTCAATTGCAATCTCCAGTGACTTGAGCTTTGAATCCTTCTTGAGGCCAGAGGATGCCAGGGATGATGCGTGTTCTTTCAGATCGATGAGACTGGACTGCAGGTGAGTAGTCAGGACAGACGGTTAGCAGCGCTTCAAACCAGGCAGGCCAGCAGAGTGCCAGCATGTGCAACAAAGTTACAGCACCTGAGGCGACTGCTTAAATGGCACCTAAAGCCCTACTGAAAGATAGTGTTTCAATATTTGCTGTGCATAAAAAAGGTGCATGCTCTGCAGCAAAGAGAAGGACACAGTCATGTGTACACAGCCCTGTAGCCTTATAGAGAAAATCTCTTTGCTCACTGACCTCCTTTTCTGTTAGTTCTATCTGCAGGCTGTTCACCTTCTCCTTCAATTCCTTGTTCTCTTTCTTATATGATTCCACTTCTTCCAGTCGTTCTCTGTCTTCTCTCTCCCTTTGGTCCTTCAAACGCTCAATAATCCTCTCCTAACACACAGAAGCACAAAGAATTAAAACTCTTCATATGACTGAACGGTTAAGAGTCTATATAAACATTAAACTGCTGAGATGTTCATTTAAGATTGTTCCAGCACAAATCAGAGATTTGTATCAGTTCATTCCTTTTAAAAAACAAATGTCTCTAGTTATGTGAAATTAATATCACACATGAAAAATACAGTTATTAAGAAATTAGACTAAAATTAAGCTAAAATGCTGAATCAAGCTAGATGCCGTGCCTGGAATTTTACCCCAGTGCTACTTTGTTATTTTTTCCTTGTATGTTTTTATAAGTAAAGATGTAATCATCAAAATCTGGTTACCTAAAAATTGAATAAAACACTAGTGCAGGAAAGAAATAATGATATCTAATGCAGCTAGAGGATTACATCAGCTATTTCCTCAATTATACATAAATCTATGAACTGTAATAGAGTTACTACTGATATTTGGTGAGGTTCCACGATTTTTAGGAGGATTAAGAAAAGTCAAACCCGATGGAGCTTTTTAAAGCACCATGATGGGCTTCACAAACAGCCTTAGTGCAGAGAAGGGCAGAGTCGCCCTGCTGCGACATGTGCCTTCATCTCTCTTCTTTGATATCAAGGAATGTAATAACAGAATGTAATAATAAATGTTTTAATATTTTATACTATTCACACTTCTTTCTGCACAAGTACAAATCTGATCTCGTCACAATTTCAGAAGTTCTGTACAATCACTCCACAGCAACTAGACGCAACTTGTAGTTGTTTAAAAAAAGAAGAAGAAGAAACAGAAAACAAGAATTTTTACTAACATGGTTCATTTAGAGGAAAGGTTTAACATATGTGGGAATTTCACCAGCTACCAGCTGACTAAGCTTAATATGAAGTCTGGAAATAAGAGGAAGCATTTCTGTTTGTGTCTCTTTAAATTCCCCTTATGAGGAACTCTAAAGTTCAAGTATCTATGACAACACCGAAGCTTACATTATTCTCTTTAAAGAGTGTAACTTTTACTAAATTAAATAAATAAATGTGTATTTATCTTCTCTTTTTCCTCACCCCCAGTCACAGCAGATAGCTTCTCTCTAATATTAGCGTACAATATAAAGCACTTTGAGGTGATTGTTGTTGAATTGGCACTATATAAATAAAATTGAATCGAACTGAATTTAATTGAACTGATGGCGAACATGCTCCTTTTCTACTCTGTGTGGCACTTGCAGTGTGTTCAAGTTTCACTAGAGCCCAGAGAGAAAATGTTGCAGACAAGTTGGAGCCACCCATACAAACGCTGGCAATGTGCCAATCTGCTAGTGACCAAAACAACCACAAGGAGGTTTTTGGTGCAGCATCCTCTTTGTGATCAGTATCACTTAGCGACAGCCAGCAACCATTTACCAGTCGGTCAGGGAATACAAGTTTGCTTAGGACCGTGTTACTGCGACCTAACAGAGATATAAAACGTCAGGAAAAAAGTTTGCTAATCTCAATTTCTTGTCGATAATGACGCTAATGTTTGGTCCTTGTGGTCTTCTTGAGAGCATACAAGAAAAAAAGAGGTCATTCACATCCTGGATTTTGAATGAATGATTGTCTGAAAAAGTCACCTGGAATTCCTTCCAGTATATACATCCTTTTGATGATATGATAGTAACTACAAACAGATAAAGTGTCACAGTTCAGACAGTGTTACGGGTTCTGTGGTATAAGGGTGGCGTGATCTACCTTCTCTGACAGCGCCTCTTCCAGGGTGGCCAGGGCAGTGTCTGTGTTACTGGAGTCGGTCTGCAGAGACTTGACCCTGTCCTTGAGGTTCCCCAGCTGCTTGTCTTTGTCCCGCAGCTGCTCCTGCAGGTTCTCAATCTGACTCAGAAAAATAAGAAAAAACAAGGAGCAAAACACAATAAAAAGCACGATCTCCAAACCAGCGCAACATTTAAAGTCGGTATATCTGCCATTTTTTAAGTCTCTGAAGCTTAACACACTACATAAGCAACAATGTACAATGTGAGAAGAAATACATCAAAAACTATAAGACCTTTAAGTTTTGAAAAGCAGAACTTAATGTAAACCTGAATTTAAACCAAACTGCTATCTGAGCAGTGCAGGACTGAATTAAGGTATTTTATTTATGATAAGACAGGAGAAAACAATGATTCATAATTAATAAAAATGATGAAACAGATAAAAGTGCAAAGATGAGAGAGAGAGAGAGAGAGAGAGAGAGAGAGAGAGAGAGAGAGAGAGAGAGGGGGGTGTGTGATCAGACACAAGAGAAGAAAAACAAAACGGGAGAGCAGGTCTGGGTGCGATATGGAGTAACACTCTGTGAGTATTTATAGCACACACAAATGAGAGCCAGTGAGGCAGAAATATCTTCTTGCTTGTCTTTCTGTGGGCATTTTCCCCTGAGAGCATGAGACTCTCTCACACTTCATGGACAGAGTAACCTCCCAGCTTTATATTTCCACAGAGCGACTGGTTTAGTCCAGGACACGGAAATGTGACGAAACAACCCACACAGTCGCTGTTCATTTCAAATTTGTGACTAAATCTGGAGTAATTAGACATGCCCCCACAATACAGTGTGTTGTAGACAAAAAAATAAACAATAACTCAAAAGCAGAGTAATGTGGGCAAGCCAAAATTGTGGCTAAAGTGTATTTCCTCCCTAATGTTTCTACATGGTGAGGTCTTCTTTCCTTCCATTCTCACCTTTTTCTGCAGGACATTAATCTTTCTTTCTTTGACCTCAAGCATGTCCTTCATGTCCCTGATTTCTCCGGCGAGAGTACCCTTCTCCTCCGTCAGGTCCTGCAGCTGCTTGGTTTTCTTGTTCAAGAAGGACTCTTTCTCCTCCAGACGTAGACGTAAAGCGTCAACCTAAAGCACATTAATACATGTCAGAGGAAGCACACAAAGTGGACTAATTATCCCAAGTGTACCATTATAGTTAAAAGCACTTTGATTTAATAACTTATAGTAACCCTAAAGTAAAAAAGGTGCTGGATGAGTATTTATTAGGGAAGTATTTTAGTAATTCACCACAGTTATTTATTTATTACTGCAGATCTGTGATGTTTTCTGGTCTATGAGCTGTGACAGTACACTGGGCAACAGTTTTTCATTGGTAGTGACCTAGGTTGCACTTCACTTACTACCAAAGCTTTCAAAGCAAACACTCTGCTGATATGATTTGCTGTAATAAGCCTCGGGCCCAGGGCGAGCCTATTGTTTGCTCAGTTTGGCTAGGAGCTTGAGAATGTTTGTGAAGCGATGTATTGTTAAGTTAATTTATTGTACGTGTACAAATAAGTTGAGCTTGTTTTATTACCTCCGTTTGCAGGATGGCAGCACGTTGCTCCTTGGCAGTGAGAGACTCTTTGAGCACCTCGATATGCTGTTTGCAGTCTGAGTTCTGGTTGTTGAGGGTCTCTAGCTTCGTCTGCAGAGCCAGCAGTTCTGACTCTTTCTTTGACAACTCCTGCTTCAACTGGTCAATCTGTACATGAGAGGAAGCAGATCATTTTGACCCAACCGTTACGTGAGCAGTGTAACGATTTCACACTCACGAATGGGAACCGCGAGCTAGTCTGCACAGCTTTCGCACTATTTTCATCAACACGCTTCTCCCTCATTAAATATGCATTTGGGACTAACTCCCCTGCATTCATCATATATTATACATCATTTCTATTCATGATTGATGAAAAGAAGTCTAAAAATAGAAGAACAAAACTGTGGCTGGTCGCTTAATAAGGAGAGAAAACGTAAACACTCCAAAGACACGTACGCGTGAGCCCCAGAAAGTCACAGACACACACACCTTGACACTATCACAGGTTGTAGGTGGCTGTGCTTGAGTGTATGACTCTAACTCTGATATGCAAACACAACTTATCATCACGGACCGGTCGGAAAACAAGCAGCGGAAGTCAGTTCAACAAAAACAAAGCTTTCATTGTGGCTTATCTTATTTTAGACTTGTGTTTGTCTTGTGGCCACAGATTAATAAAGTGATGTACTTTTTATGTGTAATTAAGGAAGAAAAGTGTTTTCAAATGTTAAAGTATGCGTTTGCAAAGTTTGGATTTTTCCCCACTTTTGGCACGGAGCCTCTTTCAGATTTTTTGCCGTCAGGGCACTTTGCTGTTCTCACTATGTGTTAAAGCAGCTCATTTATGTAACACAACATTTTTCAGTACTCTCTCTTCTGCACAGCTCTGTACCCTGAACATCATGCCTGCCATTTTATATTAAGCCATACTTTAACAGCATCAGATCTGCATGCACAGTGCAGTTAGTCTCTACCTTCGTCTTCATAAACTTAGAGTGGTTCTTGTAGACCTCCATCTGTTTGATTTCCTCTTCTCTGTCCTCTGTGTTCAGTAAGCCGTTTGCCTTCAGCATTTGAATCTCATCCTCCAGATCCCGAATGTTGCGTTCCAGAGAGGCAATTTTGGTGTCCTGCACACAAACACGCGGAGGAGACACACCTCAAAACCAGGACTGGCATGTCCAAAAGTTGCATGCTGCAAATAAATCTGAGCTAAAGAAAAGAGTCCAGGAAACAAATGGAGGGTAAAAGATTTAAAGAGAAATACAGACACAGAGACTGAAAGGGGGGGAGGAACTGAAAGATATAGTGAGATAAACCAAGAATGGAAAAAGCTCTTTGGTCTGACTGAGAGCAACTGCAGTATCTGTCGGTGAAATCAGAAGCGTTCTACTCAGCTCCGTGCGGCAGCTCGGAGGATTAATCACCATTGGGAAATATTGAGCGCACATCCAGTACGGCGAGATCAACCAGGACCGGAGAGAAATGCGCAGGGGGAAAGGAAGAAAAGTAACAAGCCGTAGCTTTTGCCGTAGATGCTTGCAGATCAATGCAGAATCCAGTCTCTAGACTGCGACTGTGAGTGCAGCTTTAGCTTCACGGCTTTTTAAATAAATAATACAACGTCTTTAAGATTAGCCATGGTCCATCTCCCTCTCCAGCAGAGCATGGAGCAACCTTGTTGTTCTCTGTCTTTCTCTCTTTTTTTGTGTCCCTCCTTCTTTCCTCTTAGTGACTCTGAACTTATGAACTTATGGCCATTAGCAGGGGCAGTGATAGCCCGCTGCAGAGGAAGGTGGGAAATGTGATGAGGAATGATGAAGTACCAGACAAGGATCTGAGGGGTTAACGTCAATGTATGAGCACTGCACATTGTACATGCACTTCGCCCTGCTGCTGCACCTCAGCTCAGTCTCTGTGTTACGAGACGAACATCAATGAACTAACACTGCTGCAATCGAGACAAGACATCGTACCTTTAAAGAAGAGTGATTTTATTCCATCCACATGTAATCACTGGTACATCGACCTGGTCAGTAAATCTTGCTCTTTATTTCCCTTTCCCTGCCTCTGTATGCCTCTCTGTCTCTCTATCTCCCTGCATACTGGCCTCTCACTGTCATAAACAACCACACCTGTTTCCATGGCAGCAGCAGGCAGGCTATATACCGTGCACTGTCTCTGGTGAGTGAGGAGGAGAGGGTGGGAGGGATGTAGGGGAAGAGAGGGAGGGAGGATTATTCGTGCTTCCATCAGCATCAACACAGCAGTGGGAGAGAGGAGAGGGGGAGAGATGCAGGGTCTTCCTGCACAGCACAGGAGGAGAAAGGAGGCGGGACTTCCCCGCGCGCCGTATGAAAATCAACAGGATCCTAGAGCTTGCACATCACATGACTAGGCTGGGGCCTGCTCGGCACGGATCCAGCCGAGTGAGAGGGGCTGTGTCAGCTCAGCGATGATGTCATGATTTATTTTGAGGAAGTGATGTCAGGCCTCTGCAGTGAGGCTGGTGGTGTCTACAGTGGTTCATTGAATGAGCCTGATATCGCTAGTGTCACATCCAGCTGCTGTACAACATGCTTGTGTAAAGAGGGTGGGGTCCTTCATCCTAAAAGATTCTCCATATGGTATGTTTTGTGGAATTATTTACAATCCAAGATGCTTCTTGCTATCCTTTTATACACTTTTTTTGCTATATTTCAGCTCAGTAGTTTTTCCTCAGTTCAGAAACCTTGAATGAAAATTTTAAAACAATGCTTTGGAGTCACAATACTCCCCTGCAAAAAAATGAAGCTGAAATGATAGAGCTGGAGTCTGGGATGTTTGCAAACAATCTGTCATGCAGAATAGAAAACATCTTGTCATGAAACTGGTGTGGCGTGTTACTGTCTGGGGTAGCTGGCCATCTGTCAAGCGAGCCACAACAGCTGAAATGTTAAACAGTAATATTGACTCTTGTTTATGTTTGCACAACTGCTTTGTGAGCAGTACGTGTGTGTGTGTGTGTGTGTTTGCTAGAGTGTGTCAGTGTGTTGATGATTGACTCAGCTGCCGACGATCACAATCACAACAATAGATTTGCCGGAACAGGTTTCCATTTAGACATGCAGTGGCAAACATGCTACAGCTGTGAACGTCAGTCAGTTAGGTAAATACAAAAATAACATCTGGCTTTAAACAGAAGCAGTGAAGCGTAGTTGATGATGGGCCCTGCTGTATGTGTTTATGCGCAGGCTGTATAGGAGTCTTACTTTCATCTCTATAATGGTCTGCAGGGCCTTAGTTTTACTTGGGTCCTGATGCAGTTGATTTCTTCTGTGCAGTTCCTTAAAAAAAAGACAACAATTTGTAGCAGCGGTGCAGCAAAACCGATCGTGGTCTCCAATGAATAGCTAGATTATTAAAATTTCAAAAGCTCACCTCACAATGCATAAAAGCTTTATGCTTACACATGCAAAATATTTCATGCAACTGCTCTTCAGTTCTTTTACTTCATACATTACATAATTGTTATGATGCAGGGATAAGCAGCAGAGAAGAGAATATTGATTTTGTGACATGCTGCACTGCCATCTAGTGACAACAAAACAAAAGAACAGTTTTTTTTTTTTACTCTAAAGCAGTGAATGCAATGACTTAACATCATCATCTTAACCCTCGACATATACTACCTCTCGCAAATGGATGTTTTCCTTCTCCTTTTGATCCAGAATGACCTCCAGGTGTCCCAGTTGCGCCTCTGCTTCTGCAATGCGCCGGGCTCGTTCTTGCTCCTCCTCCTCGGTTGCCCTGCCCGGGCCCGGGGGCAGCCCTTTGCTCTGTAGCATCTCAAGCAACTTCTTAATTGACTCATCTCTGGCACCCAGGGTTTGTTTCTGGGTCTCAATCCTCAGTTCCATCTCCTCTAGGGTCTTTCTCAGCAGGAAGAGCTCCTTGGCCTGTCTGTCATGTTCAGCCTGCAGCCGCCGGAAGTTCTCCTCTGTCAGCTCAATGGTGGTGAAATGCTCAGACCCAGAGCGGTTACCACTCTCCTGCTGCAGCAGGTGGTTGAGGTCTCGCTGTGTGCGCAATTCATCCTGCAGAGCTTGGATGGTCATCTGAAGATGCTACAAACACACACAGAGGCTTACCAATTATTGAAACTATTTTTAGGTATAGCTCATAACCGGACATTACGTAATAACACTACACATGGGGATGAACAAACAATCCCACAGCAGGTCGATCATGGGGAACACATGACTTACCTTGGCACGCTTTTAGATTTTAGGTTTTTTGTTGAAAAAGTGTGAAGCACGGATCTAATTTAAGTCCTGACTGCATAGATTTACAGTTGTTGGAGAAAATATCTTTAAAAAGAATTCACAGCTTCCAAATATAAATTTATTAGTCTGTAAAGGGCTTTATTATACACAGAAACACCCTGGTGCTCTCACAGGTCTGACTTTCACACTGAGAAAGCAGGGACCAAGTGCATGTACAATAACATGCACATTCAACTTTATGTAAACTGGTACATATAAGTGAAGAAAGTGTGCAGATGAACAAAAAAAAAAAACTGAACACCCTGAAATTTAATTTAATTCTAAATCTAAATGATCATAATCATCTGTATTCATCAAACATAAAGTGAAATATTCCAAGCCTTTTTTGTTTTAAATTTGATTATTATCCCCTCCTTGAATCGCTACCTTATCGTGGTGGAGGGGTTTGTTTGTCCCAGGGATCCCAGGGGCTATGTTGTCCGGGGGCTTTTGCCCCCTGGTAGGGTCTCCCATGGAAAATTGGTCCTGAGTGAGGGACCAGACAAAGAGCGATTCAGAAAACCCTTATGAGGAAAGCATCGAGGGAACAGTTTACCCTGCCCGGGGTAAGGGTTACCGGGGCCCCGCCCTGGAGCCAGGCCCGGGGAGGGTGCCTGAGGGCGAGTGTCTGGTGTCCAGGCCTTAGTCCATGGGGCCCGGTCGGGCACAGCCCAAAAAGGGGAAATGGGCCCATCCTCACGTAGGCCCACCACCTCGGGGGAATTGTGTGCCAGGCAGCAGCCAGGAGTGGAGGCCCTGGCGCACTGATCCCCGGCTACCAAGACTGGCAACTGGGACAAGGAATGTCACCTCTCTGGTGGGGAAGGAGCCTGAGTTAGTGCGTGAGGTTGAGAGGTACCAGCTAGATATAGTCAGGTTCACCTCTACGCATGGCTTGGGCTCTGGAACCAGTCTCCTGGAGAGGGGCTGGACTCTGTCTCAGTTTGGAGTTGCCCCTGGTGAGAGGCGGCGGGCTGGGGTGGGTATTCTAATATCCCCTCGGCTTGCTGCCTGTACGCTGGGATTCTTCCCAGTGGATGAGAGGGTTTGTTCCCTGCGCCTTAGAGTCGGGGAACGGGTCCTGACTGTCATCTGCGCTTATGCGCTGAGTGGCAGTTCAGAGTACCCAGCCTTCTTAGAGTCCCTGGGTGGGGTGCTGGAGGGTGCTCCACCTGGAGACTCTGTTGTCTGGGAGACTTCAATGCTCACGTGGGTAACGACAGTGATACCTGGAGGGGCGTGATCGGGAGGGATGGCCTCCCTGATCTGAACACGAGCGGTGTTTTGTTATTGGACTTCTGCACAAATCACAGTTTGGCCATAACGAACACTTTGTTCAAACATAAGAGTGTCCATAAGTGCACGTGGCACCAGGACGCTCTAGGCCGCAGGTCGATGATCGATTTTGTAATTGTATCACCAGACCTGTGACCATATGTTCTGGACACTCGGGTAAAGAGAGGGGCTGAGCTGTCAACTGATCACCACCTGGTGGTGAGTTGGATCAGGTGGCGGGGGAGGACGCTGGACAGACCCGGTGCACCTAAACGCGTAGTGAGGGTGTTCTGGCAACGCCTAGCAGAGGCCCCAGTCCGTGAGATCTTCAACGCACACCTCCGGCAGAGCTTCAACAGCATTCCGAGGGAGACTGGGGACATTGAGTCCAAATGGACCATGTTCAGCATCTCCAATCCCGAAGCTGCTGCATTGAGCTGTGGCCGCAAGGTGGTTGGTGCCTGTCGTGGTGGTAACCTCCGAACCAAATGGTGGACACCAGAGGTGAAGGGAGCCACCAGGCTGAAGAAGGAGTCCTATCGGGCTTGGCTAGCCTGTGGGACTCCGGAGGTAGCCGACAGGTACCGACAGGCCAAGCGGAATGCGGCTCGGGCAGTGGCTGATGCAAAAACTCAGGTGTGGGAGGAGTTCGGAGAGGCCATGGAAAAAGACTTTCGGACTGTTTCGAAGAGATTCTGGCAAACCGTCTCAGGAGGGGAAAGCGGTGCTCTACCTGCACTGTGTATAGTGCTGGCAGAGCGCTGCTGACTTCGACTGAGAAAATTGTCGGGCAGTGGAAGGAATACTTCAAGGACCTCCTTAATCCCACTGACACATCTTCTGAGGAGGAAGCAGAGTCTGGCCACGAGCTGTGGGTAGTGACCGAAAGAACGAGATCGTGGATACAAGCGGAGGAAATGAGCTTCCTCCGAAGGGTGGCTGGCCTCTCCCTTAGAGATAGGGTGAGAAGTTCGGCCATCCGGGAGGGGCTCAGAGTAGAGCCGCTCCTTCTCCACATCGAAAGGAGCCAGTTGAGGTGGTTCAGGCATCTGACAAGGATGCCTCCTGGGCGCCTCCTGGGTGAGGTGTTCCGGCCATGTCGCACCGAGAGGACCCACGACACGCTGGAGAGATTATATCTCTCGGCTGGCCTGGGAACGCCTTGGTGTTCCCCCGGATAAGCTGGAGGAGGTGGCTGGGGGAAAGGAGGTCTGGGCTTCACTGCTTAGGCTGCTGCCCTGCAACCCAGCCCCGGATAAGCAGGAGAAGATGGATGGATGGATGGCTGGATGGATTTGATTTTTATGGTTTAAAACTCATGAAAATCAGAAGTCCAGTAAACTATTAAAACAATTTGTAATGTAGAAATATTTAATTAATGGAATATATGTTTATATAAATACTCAGTACTTGGGAATCCTTTGCCACTAATTACTGCATCAGAGCAGTATGACACGGTTGTTCCACTGCTGAGGTGTTACTGCTCGGTTCCTTTGATGGCGGCCTTCAGCTCGACTGTATTTTTGGGTCAGGTGTTTCTCATCTTCATCTTAGATTCTCTGGGGATTCGGGTCAGGAGAGTTGGCTGGCTAATCATTTACAGTAATAACATGGTCATGGTAGCAGTTCTGGCACTGTGAGCAGGTGGTGCTTTTCTGCAGATGGAAGCATAAAGTGTTATAAAATCTCCTGGTAGATGTCAGTATTGACTTTGGACTTGATAAAAAACAGTGGACCAAAACACCAACAACATCGGCTGAAGACTTGGCACCCTGAGTCATCACAGTGTGCGGACTTCTTACTGGACTTCAAAACATCTTCGATTTTGTGCCTTTTCCACTCTTCCCCCAGACGTCAGGACCTTTGCTTCATTTGAAAAAAAAAAGCATTTTGCACGTCTGTGCGACAGCCCAGTAACACTGCATCTGTCCACTCCTCGAGAAGCTCTCCCAAGTTCTTGAATCAACTTTTCTCACGATTCTCTCAAGGCTGCTGTCATCCCTGCTGTTTGTGCACTATTCCTACCACATTTTTCCCTTGAAGTCAGCTATCCACGAATAAGCTTGAGCACAGCACTCTGCAACAGCCAGCCTTTTCTTCCGTGCCCTTGTGGACGATGTCAATGATCATTATCTGGAGAACTGTCAAGTCAGCAGTTGGGTTGTGTTTGCATGTACTGAACTAGACTGAGAGATAGACATTATTTATACTGTGTGAACAGTATTTCACTCAAAATGAAATCTATATTTTTCTTTATAAAGACCTGAAATATTTCACTTTATATATGATGAATGTAGAATGTATCAAAGTTCACCTTCTTTAATTTAATCACAAAAAAATGAACTTTTCATAATGCTCAAATTTTCTTAGATGCACTAGATCTTCAGACCATATGAGGGACATTTTTAGAGGAAATCAGCGCAGATATGGTGAAACTGATGAGGATAATATGGGATACAAAACTTATCAACTATACAGATTTTTGTTTTAATCTAAGTGTCTAGGTGCATTTGAAGAGCACAATCTGTATGCATGGTTTCATAAATCTGCCTTTGCCTTTGTGCATACACACAGCTTTATGCATCTGCCACCAGGACACGAATACTAAAAGTTAAAAATATCAGAGGGGCCATACTGTTACAATGAAAACATATGCAAACTAACTGTGAAATTTCCTGGTAGAGACTGGCTGGGTGGATGAAAACTAGTTAAAATATAAAATTAATGAACAGAAGTTACAGTATTGATACCCCATAGGGACAGATCAGCCATCTGTTGAACAAAGGTGTGCATGTTTGTGAATTTGTCTGTCCGTATTACATGATATCAAAGCTATACACCATTCACATTCTTTTTATTGATTGGTTTTGGGTCTAGAGGAATACCTTTAAGGCCCGGTTTCTGTCAAAAACTGACTTCTGTTGAAATTTTCTTCCAGCAGAGACAGAGAGTGGAGCACAAATTACTTTTTGTTCAGAAAATAGCTCAGTCAGGATCTGAAGGAGTGGAAAATATGTGAAATCAAACCGACTTCACGGGGAGTCTGAGGTTTTAGGTTTTGTTGTACTAAAGGAGCACCAGACATTATTACATTAAACAGAGTAATCGCTTTGTACTCTTAAAATGAGGAAACATAAAGACCAGGGTTCATAGGACAAGAAGGGAGCCTGAAACACTGAAAATATTTAACTTCTAGGAGTTATAGGATTCATAGGAGAAAGGACTGTATGGTGCAAAGGGATTGCCAGGTGTCTGAAAATACACGCCACACTGAAGGTGACTCTATGTTGTGCACTCAGCACGTGGTGCAAACATAGGGACAAACCTTGGTTCTCCTGGCATCCAGCAGCTGCAGAGCATGGGCAGAATGAACAGAAAAACAAATGTATGGTGAAAACACAGCGTCAGAGCTTGATGCAACAGAGATGGATGAACATAAACAAGTCAGAGATTAAAATGAGAGCTGCCAGTTTATCAGTCCACAGTCAGTAGTGCAAATTCTTCTTAAAAACAGACATTTTGGCTTGTCATAGTAGGAAAAGCAATGGAAAAAATTTATCATTTTAATAGTGACAGCATTTAATTGATAAAGGATGCTTCAGAGTCCTGAGCTGTACTTCCACACTTACACATATGTGTGTTCACATTAATAGCTCTGTCTATACAGAGTGCTCAGAGGGTGTACACATAACCATCAAAAAGTTAGGGATGGAATTCTGTACACTTCTCATCTCACTGCGTGCTGAGACTTACTAGAGCTCAGCTATTTCTTTTATTTCTGCCTTTTCTCTCTACAAGAAGTCAAAAGTCTGTCCACAGAAAAATGATGACTTTATCAGAATGGCCTTTCTGGAAAGAGATGAAGAAAAGATTGGAAATGGCTTTTTAAAAAATGACTTAAGCATTCTGGTTAGCAGCAGTGATAGATGTACAATTAATAAAAGCAGTATAAATTATGTTATTAAGAATGATAATGATGAGATGAAGCATTATCGTAGAAAACTGCAGCTACAGAGAAAATACGCAAAACATTACACCAGCTTTAAAAGTACATTTTTTCCTCTTACAATCTTGCAGCAAATATATTTTTTGATCTTTGTTAGCTTATTTTACCATTTCATTAGAACTTACTGAAATAGTAATTGCAGAGGGACGTAACATAATGAACAGATTAACCACAGAGTCACTAGTTGCAGTTTTAATTTATAATAATTACAGTGTAACTACGTTATAATATATGTAGTACAGCCACCTCTTAATATAAATACAAAATTATCATAAATGTCACAAAACCTTCTCATTTGGCTCAGTATCTGAGCACAGAACTGACATGATACTGTGTAAGTATAAAACATGTACTCTTCCGGCCATCAGGGGGCGGTGTTTGTGTCAGCATTCTTGCGGGACTGCTGCCAAGCACAACTCCCTTCAGTAGTGCTGTTGGAAATATAATATATAAAACAGAGAATGAGGCCAAACTTTAAAACCTGAACAGTCTCTTAGTGACAAACACTTTTCAACACAAAGTTTTCTCTCTCACAGAAATATTAATTTGCTATGTACATAAAAACATGTTAGAAATATATCTAATTTTTTGAACATGTAGAGGTTAAATCTCTGCAAATACTGAAACCCAACCGTTTATTTCTCCTCACATACTTTCTTTCTTATCCTCCCTCATTTCTGCTCCTTTCTCCTAAATTACCTCCCATCTTGGAACTGAACTGCAAAAGCCAGTCCAGTGAATCCATTTACATAATTGCACTGTGGGTTAAATTGACTGCATGGCCGTTCCTCCAATAATCACAGCACAACTGTGGAAGTTTCTGTGAATCAGTAATGACTCAGCGGATGTTCCCTTTTTGGTCACCCTCTCTCTCACGAGTAGGCTTCTGTTTGGCCGCATATCCTAAAAAATTGCTTCCAGAGGTTTCACCAGAGTCGCAGAGAGATGCTAAGCTTCCCTCTTCGACTGACACCTGGTGCAGCCGGGGGTAACTGGCTGTCAGAAATCTTGTAGTGCGGAAACAGGAAATCCATTTGAGAGAGACCATAAACAAGGAGTCAGATTCAGCCATTTTAAGGAATATATCTATAAAAAGCAAAACTCTGGTTAATCTAGAGAAAAAAGACTGAGATTAAGTGGAATAAGTTTCTTAAAAAATCTGCCTGCAAAATTGCATTAACCTGAACTTTAGACCTAAATCTACTCTAGCAATCCATCCATCCATTTTCCTTACCTGTTTCTCAAACTGAGGCATATCCCAGCTACCACAGGAAAAGGCAGGATCGGTAGACAGAAACTTACTACAGTTCCATCTACCTACTCATGCAAAGAGTAACCACTGTATGTGCTTACTCTTTAGCACTGTATTATGTAAGCACTGTATTGTGCACAATACCACAAGGCAGCTTACAACTACAGTAAGTATTCAATTCAGTTGTATTTATACAATGCCAAATTACAATAAAAGTTGCCTCAAGGCACTTTATATTGTAAGGTAAAGGCCCTACAATAATACAAAGAAAACAGAAAACCCCCCAACAATCATATGGCTCCCTATGAGCAAGCGCTTTGGAAAAACTCCCTTTTAACAGGAAGAAACCTCCAGCCAGGCTCAAGGAGGGGGGGCCGTCTGCCACGAATGGCTGGGGGGAGGGGAGGAAGACAGGACAAAGACACGCTGTGGAAGAGAGCCACACATTAATAATAACTAATGAGAGGTGTATGAAGGTTTATGAAGACTTTAAAACTATATTTTGTCATTTTGACATCTAAAAGTACTGTTGTTCTGTAAGAATGTGCACGTGCTACATCTTAAAGAGTCAAACATGACATTAAACAGATTGAACCCAGAGTGTAAAATCTCCTGCCTTACAACATGTCTTTGATGCTCTTTCTTCATAGCTAAATTATCCAACAAAGGCTCAGGAATCTCTGTGAAAATATTGGCTGATTTCTAACATCCTTGACATTTTTTAAAGAGTTCTTCTCCTTAGCAGGGGCTGACAGGCGGCATTAAATAGTTGTAGCTGTTGGGAAAATTTTAAATGTGATCCACAATCAACCACCTTTTTCCTCAATGTCAGAGGAGCCAGCCAACCTCCCTTTGTGCCCTGTTTAAAAGAACTAGCATTCCTGCTCCACCTCTATCACTTGTTGGTTTAACAATAAGGCATGACCTTTTCAGACTTATACTTTGCCTCCATAAATCCTGGAAGCAGAGGAAACTTCAACAGAAACTTCTACTCTTCCCCGCCTTATTATTCTAACCAGTTGCCCACAAGGATGGGTGTTTACTAGGATAGCTAAAATGTGTCTTGCAATGAGTAATAAAAACTGTTAAAGCTACTCTACCCTCAGAATTATATTCAAAGCTGGTGGCATTTAGGCGGTTTTACCAGGTGGCAAAGGAAAAAGCTGCGATATGTGTGGCATACTGTCTGTGTATGTGTTAAAGAATGTGGGTGTTTGCATCTGACAGACAGCTTTAAAGTGCTGACTCGGAGCAGCCTACTCCTCACTACATTCCTAATCTTTGTATTGTATGTCGTGACAGCTGACAATACACAATTACACCCACACGAGGCAACTGTGCATCTGCATGCAGCTACAGGAAAGTTAGGCAGCAGAGTAAAGGCACGAATCTGTGAGTCTAGGCAGTATACACAACTGTGCAGCAAGATTTTTTCTATGCAGCACTACTAAAGATTAACCCTTGGTAGGGGAATTTCATTTTGATATCTTTCAATATGGATTTTTAAAGCTGTAGGCGTGATGTCTAAACGTATTAGATGTTCTCCTCATAGTCAAGAACAGCCAACTATAATACTCCAGCATCATTAAGTTTGATAAAAACCAAAGACTGAGGAGTGATCTTCTACACTTAGGCTTTGTTTAATTAACTGAGTGTCAAAGCGTCACTGTGAAGAATGATATGAAGTTCAAACACAAGATGAAATGATTCATTTTAGCAGTTAAACTGTGCTCTGATGCAGATCTGTTCACTGTTGATGTAATATGCAAAAGAAGAGCAAATAATTTATTGATTATATTTTTTTTTATGTTTCTAAACTCATTAATAGCACACTGTTTATTAGTAGTACTATTGTTATCATTTTTGCTAGTATTTATTGGATAATATAATGCAAAGTTGCCATCCACATGGTTATAAAAGTTATTTATTAGCTATAACCTAATAACAAGTCAGGGCAAACCAATATACACTGGAAACAGCCAATGTTTTGTTTTTAAACCCTCTGAGCAATAAAATACAACATATGTTAACTTTTGGCTTCTTTAACCGTTAATGTATTAAATAATTAGATTCATAACCAACGCCTGTAAAACTCGTGTATTTGAGTGCACATGGGGGCACAAGTAAAGGTTTATGTACTTAATTCTGCTCTCTTTGAGATAACATATGGGGGTGGTGATTACCCCAATCCATCATCATCAAATGAGAGAAGCCATAATGAGAGTGCTGCTATCTATTTTTTTTAATTAAAGTTTTTTGTAACTGTGTTTGCGGCCATTTACACACACAAACACACATACACACACACATATATACATATGGAGAGAGAGAGAGAGAGAAATATATAGCCAGGCAAATGTGATGACCCCATATTGACCCCACAGGTATGTCGCATCTTTTCTCTTTCAGCTGAAAGTAAGAAATACGTGTGTGTGTCTTGACAGCAATGGTGAGAGAGCACTGTTGTTTTTTGTGTGTTTTTGGCAACACAGTCTGCTATCTTTATGGATAACCCCACATGCATCCATGGTGGCGTGTCAGTAAATATGGGGGTGACAGGACTGACTGAACTATAGAGAAGATCTCTCAAACCTACCAACAGTTCAAGAGCGCAGGAAGCCGGTAATAACTGTTGTCTCTCAAGATGCAGTACATAGATTTTCAGCACAGGAGAAAATCATCAAAATAATTTCTGCACTCTTGAAGTGTGTAAGTGCGGACCATTTGTGCATTGACCAGTTGAATCACTGATTGATTCATCAACACTGCTTGCCTTTCATTAATTGTCAGCGCACGCCTCTGCTAATCATGATTTTCAGTCCTTGTTGTAGTTATGGAATGAGCTTACGTTTTCTTAAATGTTCACAAAGTCTATTTTTTGTAGAATGTTGCAGTTAATTAACAATATAAATGAATACTATAGATTTATGAGGCAGGCAGCAGAAACTGTGGGATTAAATGCACCAGACATCAAAAGAAGAAATGAACCTGTGACACAGTTTGTGTGTTTCTTTACTAATTCTGTGTTGGTAGTGTAACGTTGAGTTCATGGGCTTTAGTGTATCCATTAGGCTCAGGCTTATGTGCTATG